TGGATTGATAGATGGATGAATCGGTGCGGATGAAATATGCTCACGGAAAACAGGCGCGAGAAAAACAAACCGTGTGGGAGTGGCGTGCCGTGAGCGCGGCGCGGCGGCAAAGCCTGCGAGGGTGCGACCCGATGGCCGATCGGACGTGGCAAGGCTCCGATTCGCGTGTAATTGCTGGGAACCTGCTAAGCAGCCGAGCCGCGAAGCAGCGCAAGCAGCAGACTGATTCCGAGAGTCGTTTTCGTCGCTCTGTCTCTCTCGCGCCCGTAGGGAACGCCCTGCGAGTGCGAGAGAGACAGAGCGACAAAAGCGACTCTCGGAATCAGTGTGCTGGCTTCACATTGACACGGTGGTGCTGCGCTCTGTGCAGTCTGATGCCGGACAGTGCTTCATCGCTCTGTCTCTTGTCTCTCTCGCACTCTTACGGAAGGCCCCATGAGTGCGAGAGAGACTGATACCAGTCGGCCGGCTGCAAGGCAGTGCGATGATGACGGACTCGCGCAGGGCCCCGTCGACGCGTTGCTGCCGCCTTCGCGTCGCGCGCCTCGCGGTGACAAAAGCACAGACTAATCGAGGCCGCACTTGTGCTCCCCGGACTGTGGCCCCCAAGTCAAAGAATCTCGGACGAAACGAATAGAGTACGTAGGCAGATGTCGCGTCTCCACGTCCATGCAAATCCACTATTTTCCCTTTCACTCGGATGGCTCTCCGTTTTAAGTGCCAAAATTTTGCCATCTGGGCTACCTTGTCTGTGCTGGGCCCGGATTTCCGATTGTAAGCCAAAGTATATTCGTTCAAAAATATTTCGAGTGACTGTTTTCTTTGTAAAGCTGTAAACCGTTTGCAGGGTTTTGGGACTGCGCCTTGCGGGCCTCTGGGCCTCTCAAATGTGTGCAGTGGCTGCCGTTAATGGGAGGGCTTCCGGAACCTGGTTTGTTGACAAGAAAGGCAAAAGTTTCGTCCTTTGCAAGGCCTGCAATCCGGGCGGCCAAGATCTGACGCGATGATAATTATGGACAACACTGTCAAGCCACGGCACTGCCACGGCACTGGCGGGAGCACGACACGTTAAGGGCCGCCGGAGCGGGCAGGGTCAAGCGGCGGCAAGTTCGCACAGCAGACTGATTCCGAGAGTCGTTTTCGTCGCTCTGTCTCTTTCGCACCACCGGACGCTGCATGAGAGCGAGAGGGACACAGCGAAGGAGACGGCTCTCGGAAGCAGTCTGCAGGAACACAGGGACACAGACACGGGGACGGCGTCGCGCAGTGCGGCGGGGAGGACGCCGACGGCGGACGGCAGACGGGCACAGAGCTCCTCCCCCCAGCGACGCAGCGGCAGCGACGCTCGGCTGACTTCTGATTTCACGGGCAACGCACAGGAAATGAACACAGAGTCCACTTCACCTGCGACGCCTGGTGCGACCCTTAGACATTTGCGCGTCGCCGGGCCGTCGCCGCCGCCAAGGACGCCGCGCGCGGCGCCCGTCCCGCCGTGGAAGCCGTGGAGGCCGTGGAGGCCGTGGAGGCCGTGGAGGCCGTGGAGGCCGTGGAGGCCGTGGAGGCCGTGGAGGCCGTGGAGGCCGTGGAGGCCGTGGAGGCCGTGGAGGCCGTGGAGGCCATGGAGGCCGTGGAGGCCATGGAGGCCGTGGAGGCCATGGAGGCCGTGGAGGCCGTGCAGACCGTGGAGGCCGTGGATGCAATGGAGGCCATCAAGCCCGTGGAGGCTATAAGGGCCGTGGGGGTCATGGAGGCCATGGAGGCCGTGGATCCCGTGGAGGCCGAGAACACCATGGAGGCTGAACGCCGTTGAGGCCGAGAACACCGTGGAAGCCGAGAACGCCGTGGAGGCGGCGGCGCCAGCCGTGCATCCGAGTGGAAGCGAATGACGAGAAGCCGAGGCCGGCCCGGGGCGCCTCTCATTGCCCTCGACATCAGTATGCCTCGGCACGGCCTCGGCCACGGCGACTGGGACATGCCGAATCCTAGCCACCCCTTTCTGTCTCGTCTCAGTCGTCTCTCTCCGTCCCCCACCCCCTCTCTCTCTAGCTGGGCCGAGCGCTCACCGCACCCAAAGGACCAGCCTCCCTGGAGGCCCGTCAAGAGCGCGGCTCAGACGAAGCACTGTCGCAGCACAAATCTTTTGCCTTGACCCGACGTGGCTCCGCCCGGCTCGGCTCCGCGCGCCGAACGAAAGTCGTGGGATATAAGTCCGGCTTTTGCAGGGCTCTCCACCCAGCCGTTCAAGGGCAGGCCCTATGATCCACTGTACTCGTCCCGTTTTGAAGAACAGTCGGAGGACTGACGGAATGAACGAGCAAACACGGTCAAAGCGGTTATCCGTATTCCTAGTGGGTGGATCCAGCGGAGCGGGACACAACAACACTTTAACGCTTGGCATATTTTACCCTCTTCCCAGGCCAGCCCTGGATCCGCCACTGCAGTCTTCTTCTTCGCCATCTTTTTTCTCCTCCATAATCCGCTTACCACCATTGTCGATTGTCGCATGCATTCTGCCCCCTTCCCCTTTTCCCTCACCTCCCTTCCCCTCCCTTCTAATGACCCACTGCCATCCTTTTGTTCCCCGAGTTGTGGATGACGGCCTCCTGGCCAGCAGGCTGATTCCGAGAGTCATTTTCGTCGCTCTGCCTCTCTCGCACCTAAACGTTACGCCTCATGAGCTCAAGAGAGACAGAGCGACGAAAACGAACCTCGGAAACAGCCTGCTGGCTCTGCGCTGATACTGTCCGCGTGTAAACCTCCCCCCCCCCTCTCCCCTCGCTCCTGCCCACCGTGCGCAGTCCACCCCCATTCTCGGCTTCGTTACTCAAGCCCAATTTCTTCCCGTGGCTCGTCTGGCCGTCCAAGAAAGGCCCGGTCTTCGCCGCCTGAGTCCCGGTTCGCGTGTTTTGTCGGTTTGGGCGGGGAAAACGGCGCGGCTTTGGTGCCCAAGCCGGGCCGGCCAGCAGGCCTATTCCAAACAGCAGCGCTTCGTCGCTCTGTCTCTGTCGCACTCATGGGGCGCCCCGGAGGGGTGCGAGAGAGACAGAGCGGCGAAGCCACTGTTACTCGGAGTCGGCCTGCAGTCTAGTTGAGTCGCGAGGCCGCGCGGCCTGTGTGTGATGGGGATCGCATGGTGATGCGGCGTGGCGTGTCCGCCGCAGATATTGTCATGCTCGAAGGGGAGCGGCATAGTAGTGGTCATGTGGGAGGGGCGAGGAGGGAGGGGGGGGGACTTTGTGCCCCGATACGCGCACATTTGTCTACGCGGGGTGACTCAGCCATAGACCCTGGTGGCCCGGGGACCCTGACGGGCACGGCGTGGCGCAGCGAACGCACAGTGGGCCAGAAGACCGGCGGAGGCGGCCAAAACTCCAGACGCATTTTGAGCACCAGGAGTCGCTAAACGGGACTCGAACAGAACGTGTGACCCCGTCGGATTTCTCGTTCGGGGAGCAATCCATTGGTGGGGTCACACGTTCGGTTCGTGTCTTGTTTAGCGACTCTGGAGCTCAAAACGCGTCCGGGATTTTGGCCGCCCTCACTGGTCTTCTGGCCCACTGTGGAGCGGCGTCCCCCGTCTTTTTGTACCTCTAGGGGCGCGCCGCCGCCGTCTGGTCACGTCCTTAGATTTCGGTGTCCGCGGCCCGCGGCGCGCGCGGCGCGAAGCTGATACTGATATTAGGGAAGGCGTGGCCCCCGGGTATTTCAAACCCGAGTCCTGCTCCTGCACCTTACACTCGCCTGAAAAAGGCACGTCTTGAGCCAATGAGAGAATTCAAAATTGAAGTCTCTTTTGAAAGCAAATCTTTTTGATCCGTTGGCGGAAGAAAGTCGCTTGGCGGCGCACGCGTCTGCCTTACGTGACGCTGACACGCTGTGAAGGACGCGCTGCGGCGATCGGGGAGGTGCGATATAGGATGACCGGATGGCCTATGGTCGGATCCACCAAAGCTCGGACCTGGGCTGAGGCTACTATCGTCCGATGACGCACAGACTGGGGGTTCGGGTCTTCCTGTTTGATTCACTCCTCTAGAAACTCAAGTGTGTGCATGGCATGCGATCACACCGCAGAGCACGCTTCATCATGGAGAGTGCTCCCAAGCACGCTCTACCTGGAGCATGCATGACAAAGCATGCTTAGCAAGCACTCTTCGGGATGAAGCGTGCTTTCTCGTTGATGTGAATCCTGTTACAGTGCGGTCTTCATCCCTGAGCGTTCTTGCCAAGCATTCTCCATACTGTACTGTAGATGCACCAGATAGAGCGTGCTTTGAGCCTGGATCCCAGATAAAACATGTCATGCACTCTCTTGAGTTTCAAGAGTATACCTTGCATCCGAACCATTTTGTACCGGGTTGCTGTACAGGTACAGACACCCCCCCCCCCCTCTCTCTCTCTCTCCCTCTTGGGGCTCCTCCCACACGAGACAGAAACAATGCCGCGGTTGATAGTCGGATCGATAAAGCGATGCAGCGAATAGCACCCGGCAAGTTTGTCACGCGCGTGCTGGTGGCCACCGCAACCAGATTCAAACGCCCCGCCCCACCCCACCCCACCCCGCCACGCCCCGCTCCGTCTCGCTCTGTCTCGCCCCGCCTCACCCCTACTCACCCAGCAGCAGGGGTCGTGTTAACAGGACACGGATTCTGCGAAGGAGGGTGCAACAGAGGGTGGTTCGGAGAAACGCCACTAGATAGATAGATAGAGAGAGAGAGAGAGAGAGAGAGAGAGAGAGAGAGAGAGAGAGAGAGAGAGAGAGAGAGAGAGAGAGAGAGAGAGGGGGGGGGGGAGATGGGGGAGAGACGAAAGACGCACACAGCTCAGGTGCTTTGTTGCACCTTTGTGTACGTGTGCGTGCGTGCGTGCGTGCGTGCGTGTGTGCGTGCGTGCGACAGGGTCGGCCCTCCCCCACCGCGTCCAGACGCGCTCACTCCAGCGAGGTTGCAATTTGTGCTATAAAAGAAGGCGCACCGGCGCGGATACGGCAAAGCTGAAGCCCCCCCGTGCGACGCGACGCGGCAGGACCTGGGCAGGACGCTGGATTCTATCTGAGTGGCGTGGCACGGCGCGGCGTGCGGCAGGACCAACCAGGACCGCGGTCGGCAGCGAGGCGCGCTCGTATTGTAGACCAGTCTACTCCCGCTTCGGCTTCGGCACCGACACACCGGCACACCGGCGTGGACTTCGCAGTGCAGGCCCGGGCCGGACTTCAGCGGCAACATGGCGAGGATCGAATTGCTGGTGAGTTTGCCCCGGTTTGCCCTGCCCGTGTTAGGGCAGGGACTTCAGCGCCTTGCCTTCAGCGGGCCGAGCTGGCCAGCGGACTGATTCCGAGAGTCGTTTTCGTCGCTCTGTCTCTCTCGCACCTATGCGGCATGCCCCATAAGTGCAAGAGAGAACGGCGAAAACGACTCAGGTTGGCTGCCCGGTCGCGGCGGACCGTATTGGGAAAGGGTTTTCGGGGCTGATCCCCGCTGATGAGACCTGCAGGGCGTACAGCGCACAGCGGCGGAGGCTTCGTAGGGTGGGGGTAGAGGGAGAGAGACTGATCCAATAATTTCACTGTGGCGTACCTGGCGAGCTTAAATACTGACAAAGCATAGGATCAAAAGAATTTTTTTTAGAAATGATAAAGCGACGCAGTACTATAGTAGCATTTCCTGGAATCATAATTTGTGGTATGGCGCCTCGTGTGTGTTTGTAAGTGTGTGCGAGTTTGTGTGTGAGTGTGTGTGCGAGTGGGTGGGTGAGTGTGTGTGTGAGTGTGTGGGTGAGTGTGAGGGTGAGTGTGTGCCCGCACGTGTATACCAGGGGTAGGTGGTGCGATTACATATGTGTGAGTTCTATGCGCGTGTGTCCCCCATGCCAGTGGGTGTGAATGTGTTGGGAGAGTCTGCGTGTGTGGGTGAGTTCAAACACATTTGCCCTGAGCCCGCCCAAAGGGCGCTAGCCAATGGTGAAGCGGGCGAAGCCACCTGACGCGGAGGGACTCTGGAAGGGAGCCGCTAACGAGCGTTAATCCTCCGCCCAGCACGTGTGTGGGTGTGTGAGTGTGTGTGTGTCTATGTGTCAGTGCGTGTGTCTGTGTGTCAGTGCGAGATAGTGTGTGTCTGTGTGTCTGTATGTCTGTGTGAGTGTGTGTGTGTGTGTGTGTGTGTGTGTGTTTTTCTGTGCGCGCGTGTGTATGACGGTGAGGGAGTGTAGTAAATGTGTGTGTAGATGTGTGTGACTGTCTATGAGAGAGTGTGAGTGACAGTGTGTGTCTGTGTGAGTGTGTGCTTGAAGCAGTGACGGCGACCCGCGCACACGCGTCTAGAGTCATTTCCTTGCCGCCAAATTACCTGGGCGTCTTTATTTTCACGGTCCGAGCGCCGCGCGGCGTCGGCGTCGGGCTTTCCGCGAGTGGCGGGGGCAGCAGTCTGATTCCGAGAGTCGTCTTCGTCGCTCTGTCCCTCTCGCACTTACGGGGCGTCCCGTGTGGGTGCGAGAGAGACAAAGCGACGAAAACGACTCTCGGAATCAGTCTGCGGGGGCTGGCAGGGGCGGGCGGCGGTGGGTGGCGGCGGCGCGGCGGGCTGCTTCAGGGGGACCGAGGAGGCTCCCTCTTAATACCCGGGGCTGGCTTCCGGTGCGCGAGGCACTAGACTCCGCTCGGCCGGCCACGGCGTTCCACGGCAAGGCGCCGCGGCCTTGCGCGGCCTTGCTACGAATTCGTCCGGGGCCGAGGCGAGTTTGACAAAGTCAAACGCGGGGGCAAGGCTGGCGGGGCTGGCGGGGCTGGCAACAGCAACCGCTCGGCGCCATTATCCTTCTGGACCAGCATGGCCGTGCCGGGGCAGCGCCGGGGGGCCCCAGGTGCCGGGGCCTCCTGGGGTGGGGCCGTGGGCTCCGGCCGAGCGGCGGCGGCCCCGTGCAGCGGGGCTCGGCGGGCAAAACCCCCCGACCCCCCGAAGCGAAGCAGGCCCAGTGCAGCGGGCGGGGGCTTTCCCCCGCGGCGCCCCCGTTGTAGCGGTCCCCCGTGGCCAAAAACCTTTGCGGCCGAAAAGCGCGGCGCTCGAGTCGCGGGACGGGAGTTTGCAGCGTGGCGGCGGCATTCCTGGCGCGATTTACCCCCGCGCCGTTATGCCGGTGGGGGCACAGTTGGCCAGAAGACGCGCTCCGGGGCCAAACCTTAGGCGCGTTGAAGCTCAAAGAGTTTCCCCTGAATGGGCTCGAACCGATCCCGTGTGGCCCCACCAATGGATTGTTCTCCGCACGAGGAATCCATTGGTGGGGTCACACGTTCGGTTCGAGTCCCATTTAGCGACTCTGGAGCTCAAAAGGCGTCGAGGATTTTGGCCGCCTTCTCCGGTATTCTGGCCCACTGTGGGCCGCTCCCGCTGCCTCTGCCTCTCTCGCACGGCTGCGAAGCGTCCCGTGCGTGCGAGAGAGACAGAGCGATGTGAGGGCTGTTCGCAAGCAGCCCGCCGGCGCACGCGCGGACGGCCCGCCCCCGGACGGTATGCATCCCTTCGTGCCGCGTGGCCCTCCGTCAAGCAGGCCGCCGCGCCGGGGAGTCGGAACCATGGACGGAACGACGGGGAGGGGCGGCAGAGGCTGCGTCGGCTGCACCACTTTCCCCCAAGGCCGCGGCGCGCTCCTCCACCCGCTCCTCCACCTGCTCATCCTCCAGCAGACTGATTCCGAGAGTCGTTTTCGTCGCTCTGTCCCTCTCGCACTCACGGGGCGTCCCTTAGGTGCGCGGGAGACAGCGACGAAAACGACACTCGTAATCCTCCTCCTCCTGCTCCTACCCAATCTGGTGCACCTCGCCGCCGCCGGCGCTGACGGCGAAGCCATTGATTTAATTGCGGCGGCGTGCTGAGCGCGTAGTCCAGAGTGCCACCGGTCCGCATGCCGCGGCCAACCCGAAACGGAGCAAGACGGTGCACAGTGGGCCACAAGACCGGCGGAGGCGGTCAAAACTCTAGTCGCGTTTTGAGCTCCAGAGTCGCAAAATGGGATTGAACCGAACCTGCGACCCCACCAATCGATTGCTCTAGGAACGAGGAATCCAATGGTGGGGTCACACGCGTGGTACGAGTCCTGTTTAGCGACTCTGGAGCTCAAAATGCGCCGAGAGTTTTGACCGCGTCCACCAGTCTCCTGGCCCACTGCGCGACGACGGCCTTGACCGCCACCGCGGGGATGACGAATCCCGGCGCACCTTCCTCCCGGTCGTCCTGGTCCTGGCCTGGCGCCGGACCGCTCCCACAGCACGTCCGCGTCATACGAGCCGAGGACGTGGCACTGCACGGCGTGGCGCGGCGTGGCGTGGCGTGGCGTGGCGTGGCGCGGCGTGGCGCGGCGCGGCCGCAGGACGACGCTTTGTGTGAAACCTTTATGGCGGCCGGCGTGTCACTCGACCGTGGCGCGTTCGCGGCGTTCGCGGTGCGGCCGGGCAGCGCGGCGACACGTCACGTCAGCGCGGGTCGGCCTTGGTGGCCTTGGCGGCCTTGGCGGGGTTCGAACGCGGAGAGGCACTTCGCATTGTTCTGCAAGGGCTGCTGCGGGCGGGCCGCGGCCGGCCCTGCCTCCGGGACGCGACGACGGCGGCGCCGGGAAGGGGAAGGGAGCCGCCGCACAGTGGGCCAGAAGACGGTGGAGGCGGCCAAAACTCTAGACGCGTTTTGAGCTCTAAAGTCACTAAATGGGACTCGAACCGAACGTGTGACCCCACCAATGGATTGCCTCCGGACGAGGAATCCATTGGTGGGGTCACACGTTCGGTTCGAGCTCTGTTTAGCGACTCTGGAGCTAAAAACGCGGCTAGGGTTTTGGCCGCCTCCACCCGTCTTCTGGCCCACTGTGCGCCGCCGCGCTGCCGTTCCGTGAGTGCCACCGTCACGTGGGACTAGGTTAGGCGTTCGGCGGCTCATCCGCACCTGCCGGTCGGCCGCTCTGTCTCTCTCGCACTGCACGCAACGCCCCGCGAGCGCGACAGAGACGACGCGTTCCTCCGGAACCGCCGCTGTCGGCGTGCTGGCGGTCCGGCGGCGGCGGCCCTGGCCCACTTCGTGATTCACTTCGTGATTATCGCGGTGTCCAGGAAAAGCCGCGGCTGATGATGCTTCGGATCATAACGGCACCCGCGTCATAATGTAACGCATCCTGGTGACCAGCGGGCCGGACGCGCCGAGTGCGAGCCTAGACTGATTCCGAGAGTCGTTCTCGTCGCTCTGCCTCCCTCGCCCTCATGCATGCAAGTGCGAGAGAGACGAGCTGACAACGCGCGGCGCGGCGCGTGGCAGTGCGGTTCAAAAACATCCTCGCCAACACCACGCGGCCGTGCCGATGTGATAATGTGATGCCGAGCGTGGCGAACCGCACGGGGGTTACCGGCCTCCGCCGCCTCCGCCTCGCAAAGCCCGTAAAGCCAACACAAGTTTGCGGCGTGCGGCCGCGGGGCGCCGGGCCGCGCCAGGCCGGGCCGCCTCGTTCCGGCCGAACTGGGGCCACCAAGTCGCCTGTTAATTAAGCAACATCAGTGCCGGCCCAGGTGCCTCCGCCCCAGGTCGGCGGGCGCTGACGGCACGCCCGGATGCGGGCCCTTCAGACCCTACAGGCCCTCAGACTGATTCCGAGAGTCGTTTTCGTCGCTCTGTCTCTGTCGCACTTATGGGGCGTCCCGTTGGGAGCGAGAGAGACAGAGCGACGCTCGGACGCAGCCCGCTGGCCCTTCAGGCAGTCTGTGGCACTTGGGGGGCTTCCGGCGAGCTTCCGCGGCCTCGGCCGGCCGGCCGGAGACGCTGGGGACCGCCAGTCTCACGTCCGTGTAGTTGCGGTCAGGGCCGCGGACGTACAGTGTACACTGCTCCCGGCCTCGGCGACGCGCGTCCTCGGACCATGACGTCACCGAGGACACGAAATCCGAGAAAATCTGACCCAGGACCTGGAGAGCTTTCTTTCCAAACTGATTCCTATGGCATTATTTTTGTGGCGGGTGTGCCGTCGTTCATTGGGGCCGCCGTTATTCACTGTGAAAATCCATGGCGGGGCGGGGCGGGACGGGGTGGGGCGTGGCGGGGCGGGGCGGGGCGGGGCGCGGCGGCGTGCTTACTTGCAGCCATGGAATATGCAAACGCCAAACTTTCAACCCGACAAGCTCAGCGAGGCGAGGGTCTTGCGGCGCCCTTGCACAACAGTGCGCCGCCGCTCTCGGCCGCGCCACTCCGAGGGCGCGGCGGCCCTTTTGCCAGGACCAGCGCGCAATTTGCATAACCCTCTCGATTCTATAAATTACAGCGCCCCCATTAAACAAAAGAAGTTTAACGATTTCGATTGAAAAATAACGTGCTTGCGCGCGCCCGGTCCGAGCCGAGCGTTATCGCCACGAGGTGTGGGCCCCCTATTCACCCCGGTGGACCGAGTCCGAGCGGCGTGCTCCGTCTCTCTCGCACTCACTGCGCGTGCCGCAGGGGTGCGAGAGAGACAGAGCGATGGGAGACACCGCTCGCAACCGGCCCGCTTTTGTTTACGATGTCTTGCTCTGCTGGTCGCTGCGAACGCGAACGGCGGAACATTTAGAAGGCAAGGGCTGGGGGTGATAATCCGCTCCACTGTATCACTCATCCCCCTCCCCTCTTTTTCTGGTGCCGTGCCGCCGTGCCGTTGCTAGGGGACCGAATATCGGTCCAGCGGCCTGCATTCCGCAGCCCGCAGAGCGGCGCACATGCCCCTGGAAAAAATAGGAAGTCATCGAGTTCGCCTCGCCGCACCGAGCCGAGCCGAGCCGAGCCGAGCCGAGCCGAGCCGAGCCGAGCCGAGCCGAGCCGAGCCGTACCGAGCCGAGCCAAGCCGAGCCACGCCGCTCCTGGGGATGAATTGCCGCCCTTCTCTATTCTTTGACGTCACACTACCCGTACGTCCTCGCACCCGCTCCCTCTCCTTTTCCGGTTTCCTCTCGGAATCCGTGTGATACAATGCAGTCACCATGTCACAATTTTATCCTTCAAGGCCAAACCGAATAAGCGCTCGCTCCGAGTGTGCGAATTTTCCTCTTCGTCTCTTTTGTCTCGTGTCTGTTGGCGGGGGAATGGATTTGAAATACGACGCATATGGTACGCGTCGCGGCGTAGAAGGCTGCATCCCGCAGCATTCGCCGCACCCTGCCGCACCCCGCCGCACCCCGCCGCACCACGCCGCACCACGCCGCACCCCGCCGCACCCCGCCGCACCCCGCCGCACCCCGCCGCATCGCGCCGTACCCCACCGCACCCCGCCGCACCCCACCGCGCCCTTGGAGAAGCAACCGCTGAAGATACCATCGGCGTGCGTGGTGTGAGAGCGGCGGGCACGCGGGGGCGGCGTAAACAAGGAGGCCCCGTACCCCATCCCCTTCTACTTAGGACCACCGCCGCCGCGCCGCTCGCCGCGAGTGACACCGTAGCGAGCATTTGTTGGCGGATAAGATCTGCCAGGCTTTGGCCCGGCCCGCGCGCCGTACCGAGACCGAGAGGACGGACGGATGGGGCGGAAAAGAAAAAGACGCCGCGGGCGGGAGTCGAACCCGCAACGCGCCCGGCGGCCGGGGCGGCAAACGGACAGCAACGACGCATAAAACAGTTTTAAACTGTTTTTGCGCGGATAATGGTCCGGGTGCGGCGCAGTCCGACGCGGCAGACTCATTCCGAGTGTCACTCTGTCTCTCTCGCACCTCCACGGGACGCCGCATGAGTGCGAGAGAGACAGAGCGATGAAAACGACTCTCGGAAGCAGGGTGAAGCAGCACGGCCGTTTAAAGGCGCCGTTACAGTGCAGCTGCACAGCCGGCACGGACGCACAGTGGGCCAGAAGACCGGTGAAGGCGGACAAAACTCTAGACGCGTTTTGAGCTCCGGAGTCGCTGAACGGGACTCGAACCGAACGTGTGACCCCACCAGGATTCCTCTTTCGGAGAGCAATCCATGGCGGGGTCACACGTTCGGTTCAAGTCCCATTTGGCGACTCTGGTGCTCAAGACGCGACTAGAGTCTTGTTCGCCTCCACCGGTCTTCTGGCCCACTGTGGGACGCCGTGGACGCGCAGAGACTGTGGCACTCATTCTCTTCTTTCCCACTGTTCGCAGGCGCTGCTGGTGGCGGCGGTGACCGTCTTGGCGGCCAAGGCCTCGGACGTGGCCCCGGACGCGGCCTCGGACCCGGCCGCGGTGCAGCCCGCCGGCGAGGAGCTGACGCTGGAGAAGGCCGCCCGCGCCAAGAAGGACGCAGGTCAGTTGGGCCGCGAAGCGCGCACCGGCGAGGAGGGCAGGGCTCTCGGCAGGGCCCCCAGGACGCTGGACTTGGCCAGCGCAGCGAGCGGCGTCGGCTGTGGTACGGATCATTTCTGTTGCGTCTGGCTGGTAGGCAACCCCAGTTTTTGCAGGATGTGCCCAGTTGTTGCCGGGTTGCCTATTACCTTGAGGGCGCCTCGGATGTGGGTAACCCCTGTGTGTTCAAGACACAGCTTCTTGGCATTTTGCCTACCTCAAAGACGCCCACTGCAGTGTTCGCAACGACGCACAGCTCCTTGGAGGGCTGCCGCGTGGGCGCCTGGGAGGTAGGCAATGAGGCAGTGTGCAAGACAAAGCTGGCTGCCGGGTTGCCTACGTCGAGAGCGCCTGGGAGGTAGGCAATGGGCCAGTGTGCAAGACACAGCTGGCTGCCCGGTTGCCTACGTCGAGAGCGCCTGGGAGGTAGGCAATGGGCCAGTGTGCAAGACACAGCTGGCTGCCGGGTTGCCTACGTCGAGAGCGCCTGGGATTTAGGCAATGGGGCAGTGTGCAAGACACAGCTGGCTGCCGGGTTGCCTACGTCGAGAGCGCCTGGGAGGTAGGCAATGGGCCAGTGTGCAAGACACAGCTGGCTGCCGGGTTGCCTACCTCGGAAGCGCCTGCGAACTGCCGGTTAGGCAGACACGCCGCCCTTCCGTGTCTTGCACACACACTCATTGCCTACCTCCCAGGCGCCTTTCCGCCAACTTTTCCCATTTCCCGGCTGTGTCCGCGCGCGGTCCTTGCAGTGTCCGTGCCGTGGCCGAGCCGCGGCCTGGCCGGGTCTTTGACCGGAGACAGGTGTATAATCACGGTCTTCTTATTGTCCCCGCGGCCCGCACGCGTGACGACAGACAGCAGCGCGGCAGACAGACCGATTCCGAATAGTGCTTTCGTCCGTCGTCGCTCTGTCTCTGTCGCTCTCTCACTCCCACGCGTCGCGGCGCACGGCCGCGAAAGAGACGGAGCACTTTTTGGCGACGAACTTGCAGCACGGCGACAGTGAGCGCGGGGCGGATGGCCTCTACAACGCGGACCCTTGTCGGCGTTGGGATCTCTCGCGTGGCCGCGGCGTGGCGGCGTTGGCGGTCCGCACACATTCGGCATTCGCACACAGCGGCCTAACGGGGCACCTGGTGCGCCAGAAAAAAATAACAACAACAAAAACGCGCACGCGAGTAGAAAACGCTCGCGGAATCTTGCGCTGTTTCGTTGTTGTTTGCCTTTTTTTTGCATTTCCTGCCGTATTTTTGGCCGGTTGCCAGGGGCGTCTATTTCTCCCCGGTGGCTCTAATGGCCTGCAATGGATAGACAAGCAGGCCCACGCCGTGCCCTGTGGACCGCTTCCGAGAGTTGGTTTCGTTGCTGTCTCTCTCGCACTCACTGGAGCGTCCCCTGTTGATGCGAGAGAGACAGAGCGACGAAAACGACTCTCGGAATCAGTCTGCTGGCCGCGCCCCGTCAGGCCGGAATGGCGCGGAAGGAGCTGTAGTGGGTCGATCTCACAGTCGGACGCCTTGTGTCGGCAGGCGTCCCGCCGCACAGTGGGCCAGAAGACCGGTGGAGGCGGCCAAAACTCTAGACGCGTTTTGAGCTCCAGAGTCGCTAAGCAGGACTCGAACCGAGCGTGTGACCCCACCAATGGATTCCTCGTTCGGAGAGCAATCCATTGGTGGGGTCACACGTTCGGTTCGAGCCCCATTTAGCCACTCTGCAGCCCAAAACGCGTCTAGAGTTTTGGCCGCCTCCACTGGTCTTCTGGCCCACTGTGCGCCGCCCCCGCATCCCACGCCAAACCCCTCGGCCCGCCTCGCGCTGGGAGCAGGAGGCGCCCCTTGGCCCCTGAACCTGAACACCACTCGAACCCAATCCGCGGCCAGGGATCGGCTTTCGCTCAGATTTCGTTCCTTTTCGAGGCGTGCTTTGAGTTGAAGTGTTTGGCCCAGTGCGGCCGCGTCAGTGGGTCGTTGCCCTGGCGGCCTTCGTTTGCAGTGTATTTACACTGGAGCATACTTTTACGCCTTTCTTCAAGAGTAGTTGCCCGTCCTTCCCCTCTTCCGCCTACATAAATGCATGCATTTCTTCTCTACTCTTGACTTGAAGCGCAAAGTCTTCGAGCGTACACTCCAAATTCGGCATGCTACGAAATTGGGCGCCTTTGTCGCCTGCCCCACTGTTAAGAGCGCCAAATGTCGCCCAGTTTCTGGGCACCTTTATCGCCCAGTCTCGGAGTGCACAAATCATAAAGCAACTTACCCTTAGCAGTGCTAATCTGGGCACCTTCACTGGTATTTCTAATGTGATAAGTTTCATACAATTTGCTGCTATAAAAAGGCTAGTCCCAGGCTAAAAAAACCATGGTCGTCATGGTGAATTTCCATGTCCATAGGGCTGTTCCCCATGGTGGAGGTTGTCATCCCCATGGTCAGCCGGGCTTCCCCATGGTGGAAGTCGGACCATGGGGAGAACCACCATGGTGCGGCGGTCTAGACCATGGTGGAGGTCTTCCCATAGTGATGGTCACCATGGTGGCGGTCGCACCATGGGGAATGTCGCCCTCCTCGTGCGTTGAAGTCTCCAGAGTTTATTCAAAAATTGTCCGTAACTTTTTAATATTTTGAGATAGAGAGACGCCGATAGCATCATCGTGCGTAGCATCGAATTTTCATCTGAGTCCGATGTGCCTGTTGCGTCAGGTATACGCTGGACACGTCCTTCATTCCCCATGGGGCAGTTCACCATGGAGCGGTGCACCATGTGCACCATGGGGCAGCCGCCCCATGGTGATCGCATCCCCATGGCTGGCCTCCCCATGGCTGGCATCCCCATGGTCCTGAACACCATGGGCATTTCTCCATGGGCAAAATATTGTGACCATGGTGAATCACGGATCACCATGGGCAGCCATCCCCATGGCCAAGCTCATGGTTTTTTTTAGCCTGGGGTGTGATTCCCTCAAATTATCGCATCTGTGGCAGCCATAAAAAATTATCGCACTAAAATTGCAATAAGTCCCTTAGGTTTTGGCCGGCCTAGGCCCAGATTATCACAGTTTTGGTGTGATAAAATGATAACTACACAAATAATGCGATAAATGCGCTAATGCAATACAATAATTATTGCACTTTTAATGCAATAACTTTTTCATGGCGCTACTAATGCAATAAAAATGTTATTGCTTTTTAAATAAGTTCATTATTACATTCGGAAAATCAGTGTTGTTCGTCCAGAAACTAGACCCCTGTGAATGCCCTACCATGGTAGAGGGCCAGATGCGGGCAGATTAGTACACCCCGAGACTGGGCGGAAAAGGTGCCCAGAAACCGGGTGACATTTGGAGCCCTTAAAAGTGAGGCAGGCGACAAAGGCACCCAGTTTCTGGGTATGCCAACTTGGAGTGCAGTTGTAATCTTGAATAAAGCGTACAACTCTTTCTTTAGTTTTACCAGTGTGGCCGCGAATCCGGGCGCGCGTCACGCCGTCCGTCGCGGCGCCCTTATGTTGCCGCGACTCTCTTGGTGTTTGCGGAACACCCGCCTCCACCCCGATGCCGCTGTTTGGCATTCTAAACAGACCCTGAGAGCTCCGACCGGCCGCGAAAAAAAAGACAGAGATCCCTCATCAAACGCGCTTATATTGACCAATGAAGCTGTGCTCTCTGTTCCAGGGTACCCCTACGGAGGGACCAGCTACAACGGCTACTCCTACAACAGGGGCTACAGCGCGTACCCGACAGCCCCGGGGTACAACGGCTATAACACCGGGTACAACACCGGGTACAACACCGGCTACAACCAGGACTGGGCGCGAACGTACAACCAGTACGACCCGCGCTACCAGTACCAGCAGCCAGGCTTCTACCCCACGGCCGCCGGCGCGGTCGACCCGAGGTACAACTACTACAACCGCGCCGGCTACAACACGGCCGGCTACCCCGGGTACTCTGGGTACGGCGGGTACGACGCGCGGACCACCGGGTACGGAGGGTACTCGGCGGGCTACGGCGGCTCCAGGTACCCCTACGAGGACCGGTTCTACAGCAACTACCCGTACAACAGCAACTACAACCGGTACCCCAACGACTACAACAGACGGACCAACTACGACAGCCGGTACGGCGGCTACCCGGGGGCCTACCCCGGCTACCAAGGCTACGGCGGCTACAACAACTACAACAACGGGTACAACTACAACAGCGGCTACGGCAGCTACCCCAACTACCCCGTCACGCAGGAGTACTACTACACCCCGGCCGCCAGCAACAACGTGTACAGCACGGGCTACAACAGCCGCTACCTCAAGAAGCGCGACGGCAAGGACCCCGCCGTCGCCGCCTCCGCCGAGGCCCCAGTGGCGGGCTCGGGGCCCACCCCCAGCACGCCAGTGGCGTAGCCGGGCGGAGCTACTCCACACTGCCAGCTCTTGCGCCTTTTCTACTTTTGTATGTTCTCGACGGCATTAAACTTGTACTAACACCCCAGTGTGGTTGCATTTCATATATTCCCGTGGACTCGGCCTCATAAATCACTTGGAAAACTCACACGATGAAACAAACGTCTCAGAAATACTTTGTTTTATGTTCAATGTACAAAATTACACTATACATGGGCACTGAAAGTATCCAACACGCTTAACCTAACAAATTATTTTGAGCATAAGTACGATAAAAACTTATGAATTTGAAAGAAAATACCGTGAACCACCTACTACAATATTTTTGCAAGCTTGCTCAAAATACTTTGTAATTATAATTAGAATCTTCTAGACTCAAAATAGTTTTAAAGGTTTTGAGAGTACTAACATTAATAGGACACTGTGACAGCTTCAGTGTCTGTTGACCATCACTGCTCAGTCTTTTCAAGGAACATTGATGAGAAAATCACATGATTGAACACAGAGATCCGCAAAACCCACAAGAAAATTAATTCTCGTCGCACAGCTCCCTTTCATCCCGTGAGCTGTCGTGGCGCGTCGTGGGCACAGTAAACCGACGGTGGCTCGGTTGAGGCTTCCTCAGCCCAGCTGCTCCACGAGGTCCTTGAGGTTGGCGCGCTCCTCCTCGAAGGGGTACCGCACGGACGGCTTGAACTTCTTGTCGGGCTCCGTGACGGTGCGGTACACGGAGTAGGGCGCGAACACGTTCTCGTCGCCGTGGCCGCCGAGAAGCCGCTGCTCCTCCGCGTCGTCCAGCGCCGCGCGCTCGGCGTCCCCCATGGCCAGGTACTCGGCGTCGTCGTCGTGCTCCACGGCGTCGTGGTGCACGGCGTGGCCCAGCACGGGGGGCTCGTCGTCGTCGTCCTGGAGGCCGCGGCCGCGGTGCTCCGGGGTGCCGCTGATGTACGAGTGAACGGGGTTCCGGAACTCGAAGTACGGCTCGCGCTGCTTGTGCTGCTTCATGCGCTGCTTGACCTGCTTGCGGCGCGGCGGCGCGCGCGGCCGGTGCAGCGTGGCGAACCGCTCCGACTTGGCGGCCTGGCTGGCCTGGCACTTGGAGGCGGGCCGCATCGAGTCCAGCAGCGGCGCCAGCAGCCCGGCCAGGATGTCCCTCTGCTTCTGGCGGCACGCGCTGCCGCGCATCGGCGCGGGTGCCACCGCGCTGGGGGTCTCCACGGGCCGCTCGTACACCTCGTAGCTCTCCAGCGGCACGTCGGCCATCTGCGAGTCCTCCTCGGACGACGCGCCGGGTCGGCGGTACGCCTCCCTGGAGTCGTGCCCGTCCTCCGTGGCCACCACCTTGAAGCGGCCCGTGTACGGGTCGTACTCGCGGACGCGGGGCGGCGGCGGCTCGTCGTAGTCCTGGCCGGGCACGCCGACGATGCCCAGGTTGGGCCGGTGCGGGTCGCCGAGCGTGCCGATCTCGACGGGCCTCTTCTTGGCGGCGGCCTTGGCGGCCTTGGGGCGCTGCAGCCGCGGCGGCGTGCGCTGCGCGCCGTGCACGGTGATGCTGGCGATGGGCCGCTCCGCGAACAGGCCACCCAGGTCGGCGCCGGCCGACGGCTTGAAGCCCTTCAGGGGGTTGCCGTGCGTGAAGGACGCGGGGGCGTTGAAGGGCCCGAAGGGAAAGGACTGGAACGTGTGGCCCGTGAAGGGCGGCCGCTCGTCGAACAGGCTGTGCGCGCCGTGCGCCGCGTTGTGCGAGTGGTGGTCGACGGCGTGCTTCTTGGAGTCCAGGGTGACGCGCGTGGACTGGTGCTGGCGGTAGCTTTTGCTGCGCGGGTGCGGCTGCACCTGCACCATGTAGGAGTACGACTTGGGCCCCGTGCCGGAGCCCGGCGCGAAGCCCGGCGCCACGCCGGTCCACGACGGCGAGGCCCCGAACAAGGGCGAGTGCACGAAGGCGCTGTGGGAGGCAGACGCCGCCGCGTCCGAGGCGGCGGCCGGCGACGGCTTGGGGGCAGGGATGCGCACGACGTCGTCGTCATCTTGTCGACCTGCAAAGCGGAAAAGCGGAGCCCAATTCAGAGGAAAGGCTTCAAGGCGCGAACTTAATTGCGTTGGCCGTTCACTCTCAAATTAAAGTGAGCACCTTTCGGCACCAGGCTGCCTTGCAGGCTGCCTTGCAGGCTGCTGTCCCAGGGCGCCGGCTGGCTGGCGGCCGCGGCGGCCCTCTGGCCGGGTCGCTGCGCTCGCTGCTCGGGGTCGGCGCGCACCGCCACGAGGAAGGGCAGGGCCGCGGCCAGCACCTGGACGACAAAGAGAGTGCAGTGGCAAAGTACAGCCCGCCGCCAGCAGACTGATTCCGAGATTCGTTTTTGTCGCGCTGTCTCTCTCGCACCCGTACGGGACGCCCCACGAGTGCGAGAGATACAGAGCGACGGAAACGACTCTCGGCCGCTGACATGTGCCGCACTGCGTGACGGCGGCTGTGACGCGGCGTGACGCTGTGACGCGGCGTGACGCTGTGACGCGGCGTGACGCTGTGACGCGGCGTGACGCTGTGACGCGGCGTGACGCTGTGACGCGGCGTGACGCTGTGACGCGGCGTGACGCTGTGACGCGGCGTGACGCTGTGACGCGGCGTGACGCTGTGACGCGGCGTGACGCTGTGACGCGGCGTGACGCTGTGACGCGGCGTGACGCTGTGACGCGGCGTGACGCTGTGACGCGGCGTGACGCTGTGACGCGGCGTGACGACACTGTGACGCGGCGAGACGACACTGTGACGCGGCGTGACGCTGTGACGCGGCGTGACGACACTGTGACGCGGCGTGACGCTGTGACGCGGCGTGACGACACTGTGACGCGACGCGGCGCAACCGCCGTGTCTTGTGCCGAGCGCTTGCATTTAATTGGAAAGGGAGGGGGAGGCACTTGTTTGAATTTTAATTCGGCTGCCTTGAGTCTCTGACCCGGTCGCATCACCACCGCACCGCCTTCCTCCAGCTGCTTCAGGGGCAGGAAGAAAAACAAGAGTGGCTCCGTGCTGTTCTCTCGTCGGCCTGTCCCTCTCACACGCGCACGGGACGGCCCATGCGTGCGAGAGAGAGGGATCTCTCACTCGGAATCAGTCCGCCGGCGGCCCTAGAGTGCGGTTCAGTGCAACGCCAGCCCGCGCACTTTCGTCGGACTCCAACGCGGCAGTGGGGATTTAAAAAAAGGCTTGGTAATCAAGTCGTCGTATCGATCTCGGTCTTACGCAAACGGATGCAAGGCGCTCCTTCCGGACCGGGCATAAAAATTGCCATTTTGCAACCTCGCCGCAACACTGGGGTCCGAAAGGCTACGAATTGGTGCAATCCGTTCGGCCCCCTTTTTCATCTCACCCATTGGCGTAACGACAGGCATAGGAATTTGTTTTAGCTAATTGTTGGGATATTTTTTTTTTTTTTGGGGGGGGGGGGGGATGGGTCGGGACGGCATGCCCCATGCAACCAGCATAAGGCACGCCGGAAATTGAATTGTGTACTGTGCATGGAAAGAACTGAGAAGTACGTCGGCCAAAAATTCCCACGGTGCACCAGTGCTGAAAGGTTTGCCAACCTCAGCCCGCGTACTCAGCAGTATATCAGCTTCGCGCTTCGCTATCGAGAAGTTGCCTGGCACGCAAGGCTGAGGTTGGCAGCCCTTCCGACACACTGGCGCACTGTGATAATTTTCACCCCACTTATGTCGTGGTGGCGCTCCTTACAGGCAGGACGCGGCGGGCCTTCATTTCTGCAGCTCGCTGCGCCACTGGAAGTCCATCTCGGCTACTTCCGGCACCACCGCACTGCAGCGCGCGTCATGTCCTCGTCGGTCCTTGTCACACGCCGAGGCGTCGCACTGCACTTTGCTCACTTCACTTGCAGGCACGCCAACGACAGCCGCACCTGTCCGCGGGCGCACCTCGCTCACACACACTCACACACACACAGGTCCGAACGTCACACATACACACATGAACGTCACACTTACACACACACACGGACGTCACACACACACGCACACTCGCAAAAAAAAACACACGCTCGCGACGTGACCGTCGGCACCCCTTTGTACGTGCTGGGTAACACTGTAGCACTACTGGCTAGTGGGCTGGGCGCTGGCGTTTATAGCCTTTGGGTTTCTCCCCTGATCCTGGTGGCCGTCGGACCCCGGACACCGCCCCGCCCCAGACACCGCACCTAGCCCCAGCCCCCGCGCCCGCCCCGCCCCGCCCCGCCCCGCCCCGCCCCGCCCCGCCAGCAGTTCTTCAACCGAAATCGAACCGGAAGGCGATTTGTCTCGCAGGGAGTCCGCGCTGGACACTAACTGTCCCCGCAGTTGCACAACAAGTGCCACGGCAGTGTGTCAGTGGTGCGCAGGGCCCGGCAGGGCGCCGCGCGGGACGAACCGCGGGGAAAGGGGCGGGAGGGGAGGGACAGGGGAGGGGAAGGGGGCGAAGGCAAAGGAAAGGGAATCAAACCGGTCAATTGAGCGTAGACACGGTGTGGGTGCCGCTTGTTTTCACGCCACCTCCCCCTTCCCTCCCCCCTCCCCCTTTTTCCAGTGACTGGATCCGGTGGCGGCGCGGTAATCCATTCCTATTGACATTGCGATGGCTGAGGCAACACTCATAACGCGACCGACAAAAAACGCGAGAGAACCCCGAAAAGGCATACCATGTATCAGTCATGCCCGCGCACGCCGCACGCGGCACGGCGTGGCGCAAGTGGTCGCTCTGTCTCTCTCGCACTTCAACCAGGCGCCCCATGAGTGCGACAGAGACGACAGCACTATTCGCAATGTGTCTGCTGGGGGCCCGGCCGTTTCCCCGCGGCGCACAGTGGGCCAGAAGACCGGCGGAGGCGGCCTAAACTCTAGACGCGTTTTGAGCTCCAGAGTCGCAAAGCTGGACTCGAATCGAACGTGTGACCCCACCAATGGACTCCTCGTTCGGAGAGCAATCCATTGGTGGGGTCACACGTTCGGTTCTAGTCCTATTTAGCGACTCTGGAGCTCGAAGCGCGTCTAGAGTTTTGGCTGCGGCCTCCACTGGTCTTCTGGCCCACTCCACTGTGCCGCGCCAGCCCGGGGCGAGGACGTATCGATGTTATTTGGGAGCCAAAAGAGAAACATTCGGGGAAAAGTAGTGGGAACAATAGACGCGTCGACACATCGCCTTCGCCGCGTGCAAAGGCAAAAGGGAATATTTGTTGCTGTTGTTTGTTTGGTGTTTGGGAGGCCGTCAGCGGTAAAACGTTTCGGCGATCAATTTCAATCTGACACCGCGTGCGCACCGCGCGAAAATGATAACTGCGCTCAAGGGCGGATACAGAGACGGGAGAGAGAGAGAGAGAGACGGGAGAGAGAGAGAGAGAGAGAGAGAGAGAGAGAGAGAGAGAGAGAGAGAGAGAGAGAGAGAGCTGCCTGACCCACAGGGGCAAAGTGCGACTTTTTGCCTACCTTTCAGGCAGTGGAGGAACTCCCCCCCCTGGCTGCGCTTCTTGTTGCGCGTCGCCACATCGGCCGCAGGGACTCGACAAAGGGACTGCGGCTGACGCCCCTCCCATAAAATTATTGTCTGTGGAGTTGTGGAGGCGAGAGACGGGTTCCCTTGAACATCTTTACTTATTCCTTCTTCATTGTCATTTATTATTGTTTATTTTATTTATTTTTTTGCGCTGGTGCCAGGAACGGCGAGGTATTGGACAGCGCAGCGGTGCGGTACCCACCGCAGCCTGCGCGGATGATTTGTCGATTTCAAATTATCGGTCACCCCGCGCGTCGCACGCACTCACTCTTATTGTCGCGCAGGGTGCCATGCCAGCCACGCCGAGTTGCTCCCGGGCAGCACAAGGGAGGGTTGTGTGGTTATTTGTGTGTGTGTGTGTGTGTGTGTGTGTGTGTGTGTATGTATGTAGTATGTGTGGGTGTGTGTGGGTGTGGGTGTGGGGGGGGGCGTATGGGCGCACAGGTTCATTAGGGTGACAACAGTGGCAAAGTACGTTATTCCGGGTCTGTCCCGTTGGCAGCATTGTGGCAAAGCCGATTCGGTGAGGGTTGGCAGCAGACTGATTCCGAGAGTCGTTTTCGTCGCTCCGTCTCTCTCGCTCACTCATGGGGCGTTCGGTGCGAGACAGACAGAGCGACGAAAGCGACTCTCGGAGTCAGTCTGCTCCGCCGTAATTAGAGGCGAGTGCGAGTGTGTTACACTGTGGGCACGAATGGCGCCGAGGAGGACTTTCCGACTCCGAAGGTATGAATAGTGGGTGTGCGTTGGTACCACTGCGTGGGCGCGGCGCTGCAGAATTGGCGCGGCTGGTGGGTGCGCCGGTCGGGGGGAAGGGGGGGGGGCAGAGCGTGGGAACTGGCGGCCAGCTTTGTAGTGGCCCTCCAGCACTGCAAGATGGCAGTGCCGCACCCTGTTCGTTCGCGACAGGCCGGGCAAGGTCGGGACTGTCCCAGGAGGCTGATCGTTTAGTCGCTCTGTCTCTGTCGCACTCATGGGGCGTGCCGCGTGCCGCCGGGCCGAGGGAGAGACAGAGCGACGAGAGGATTCTTCGGGTCCACTCGGCAGGGCCCAGCGCCGCCGGCGGGTTAGGCAACTCGTCTGGCGCCCGCGGCCAGTGGGTGGCCTGCCTCTCAGGCGGCTGGAATCAAAGCACTGCAAAGCGGCAAAACGTTCTCTACCCGGCCAGAAGACGGCAGTGGCATGGTGGGGAGGAAGTGGGACTGACGACTGAATAAACGGAGTCGGAACGTAAAGAAAACAGCTCATAATTCGCTTTTTATTGAGAACTTGTTCTTTTTCACAGCGCGAGTTGGCGGCGGACTTTCCGGGCTTCCTCCTTCACAGTGTGTCGAGGCGTGTCGAGGGGAAGCGTGTCATTTGAAGTAGCGATCTGCGACAAAGTCGGACAGGATCAAAATGCGCATCGCGTCAATGGACACTTCAAACAAAAACATCAATGAAAAACAATTTAATTGCCCGAGCATTCACAAGGGTCGTTCACTTATGACGTCACGTTTTCCCAGCGCTCTGTCCTTGTTGTTTCTTATGGATTGCTCGTGAGCGCAAGAGAGACAGAAGAAGCCACGTTATATGTGAACGAACCCGCTTTTCAATCACGCCGTTGTTTGTCTCACCTCCGAAGCTCGGTGCGTATCTCGACGCGCCGTACTGCACGACGCGGGCCTGGCCACCCGGGTAGGTGGCCTGGTAGCCGGACACCCCCGGCCCGTCGATCATTATGTAGCCGAAGCCGTCGGGGCGGATGGTGCTGGGTGGGCCACCCATACCGCCAAAGCCTCCGTAGCCGCCAAATCCGCCGAAACCGCCGTAGCCGCCGCCGTAGCCGCCGCCGTAGCCGCCGCCGTAGCCGCCGCCGTAGCCGCGACCACCGTAGCCGCCATAGCCGCCATAGCCACCATAGCCGCCATAGCCACCGTTGCCATACTGGTAGCGGCCGCCCCAACCATTACCCGTGTACATGCCGCCTCCCCAACCGCCGCCGCTACCCCACCCGTTGCTGTTACCCCAGCCGCGGTTCCAGCTCCCACCGTTACCCCAGCCACTCGAGCCACCCCACCTGTTACCTGAGTTACCCCACCCACCACCTGAGTTACCCCAGCCACCTGAGTTACCCCAGCCACCAGGGCCACCCCAGCCTCCGCGCCCTGAGTTACCCCATCCTCCAGAGCTGGGCCCACTACCCCAGCCCCCACGGTTCCCCCAGCCACTACCGCTACCACCCCAGCCACTGCCGCCCCAGCCACTACCGCCCCAGCCACTACCGCCCCAGCCGCTACTGCTACCACCCCAGCCTCCGCCACTGCCGCCCCAGCCGTTGCCGTTGTATCCGTAGCCGTTGGCGTAGGACTGCCGCACCTTCCGGGGCGTGCCTTCGGGGTGCACGCCGAGCTCCGGGTGGTCGCCGAGCAGGTTCTTGAAGTCGTTGGTCTTCTTCTCGTCCTCGGCGGCTCCGGCGAGCGACGCCAGTGACACCAACAACAACACCAGCAGCGGCAGGGCCTCCATCGCAAGGTTCAAGACTGATCCGGAATAGCTGCAATCAAGACGCGCGTGTTTACTTGCCGTGCTGTTCGGCCCATCGCTGGATCCAGAGTCGTCTCGAGGGAGGAGCAAAGTAGCACTTTTTGTCCTCTAACATGGGAAAAGTGTGGCGCTTTGCCTACCTTTCAGGTGGCTATCTAGAGGATGGGGTCAATTGTACTTTTGCCTCCTACAGGATCAGCCCACAGTGGACCAGAAGGCCGGTGGCGGCGGTGAAAACCCAGGATGCATTTTGATCTCCAGAGTCGTTAAATGGGACTCGAACCGAATGTGTGACCCCACCAATGAATTGCTCTTTGAACGAGGAATTCATTGGTGGGGTCACACGTTCGGTTCGAGTCCCATTTAGTGACTCTGGAGCTCAAAACGCGTCCGGGGTTTCCGCCGCCTCCACCGGTCTTCTGGCCCACTCTGCGGCGGTCGTCGTCGGCGTACTCACCTCCGCACTGACGGGGCGGCGCTCGGCGCTGCTCTCAAGTTCTTATCTCTCCGGGCTGGAGCGTCGCTGGAGCGTCCTCGCCGACTGAGAGGACGCGGCCGTCGGCGTGCTCGCTATATGCCCGATGCCGGCGTTGCCGCCGACGCCCGCGTAGTGCTTCCAGTCTCCCCAACCTCTCCGCGGATTTATGTGGCCGCCGTGCCCGTGATGGCTTTTCCGTACACGCGCCGGCCCGACCTTCGCGTACAATTTTGTTTAAATTCGTGGCTGGCGCGAGGCACCGCGCGCCGCGCGCCGCACGCCTCCGCGCCGCCCGCCGGCGCCTGGATCGATCACAGCGAGCACGGCCGCCAGCAGGCCGATGCCGCTCCGCTTTTGTCGCTCCTCACAGTGGACCAGAAGACCGGTGGAGGCGGCCAAAACTCTTAGACGCGTTTTGAGCTCCAGAGTCGCTAAATGGGACTCTAACCGAACGTGTGACCCCATCAATGGATTCCTCGTTCGGAGAGCAATCCATTGATGGGGTCACACGTTCGGTTTGAGTCCTGTTAAGTGACTCTGGAGCTCAAATCGCGTCTAGAGTTTTGACTGCCTCCACCGGTCTTCTGGCCCACTGTGCTCCGTCTCTCTCGCGCACCCCTGCGGAGCGCCCCACGAGTGCGAGAGAGACGGCGGCAGAAGCGGAGCCGAATCGTCCGGCTGTCGCCACGCACCACCATCGGCAATTGAACCTCCTCTTCTTCTCCGTTATGTCGGGTCGTGGCGGTGACTGCTGGACGGGACGGCCGAGGGACTCCGCCCCGCCATGGCGCGCCACTCCTTGGCCAGCCGGGCCACCACAGTGGGCCAGAAGACCGGTAGAGGCGGCCAAAACTCAAGACGTGATGTGAGCTCCAGAGTCGCTAAATAGGACTCGAACCGAACATATGACCCCACCAATGGATTGCTCTCCCAACGAGGAGTCCGTTGGTGGGGTCACACGTTCGGATCGAAACCCATTTAGCGACTCTGGGGCGCAAAACGCGTCTAGAATTTTGGCCGCCTCCACCGGTCTTTTGGCCCACTGTGCGGGCCCTTGGCGCCACGCGCCCTCCAAGCGTTGGAGGCCTCCATGGAGGCCGTGGTGAGCTTCATTGACGGAATCCGATGAAAGGCTTTGCTGGCCCGCTTCCCCCTCACGGACAAGCAGCACACTTGGCTGGCGGGAGAGCTGCCCGCGCCCCTCCCGGCCGTCAAAGCCCAGACTCACAAACCGCCCCATTCAGAGTCGCGCGCGCACATACCCAAACAGGACCACCCCCCCCCACACACACACACACACACACCACCACACCACCACCACCACACCACCACCACCACCACCACCCCACCACCACCACCACCACCACCACCACCACCACCACCACCACCACCACCACCACACACACAACATACCGACTCAAACTCCTTACTTTGAAATTTTATTTCCGCTGTGACGTTTCCTTTTAAAAGTTAGCACGTATCGCTTCTCTTTTCGTTTCCTTTTTTTGTCCTCTTCGGGGTTCCGTTCCGCTTTTTCATTAAAATCGGGGAGCGCCGCGTCGCTTCGTCCGTGGCGGCCGCGCGGCCTCGGCGTGCCGAAAAGTGCTTCTCCTCAGATGTCGTCCTCCGCGTCCGTGTCGAGCGCGCCCGTGGTGGTGTCCATGCCGACCTGCGGAAAAACAAAATAACATTTTGTCAGTTTCTTGGCGGAGCGCGCAACGCGTAGCGCTGCTCCATTATGGCCATAAAGCCGGCGCACACGTCTGCCTAGAAATTGGTCGGCCTGCCCTGCAGACTGATTCCGAGAGTCGTTTTCGTCGCTCTGTTTCTCTCGCACCTAGAGGGGAGGCCCCACGAGTGCGAGAGAGACAGAGCGACGAAAACGACTCTCGGATTCAGTCCGCTGCCGGAGTCACTCCACTGCTGCCTTGTAATGCCATCCTGGAGGCTCGCCGTCAGGCTCGGAGCGCAGACCCATTTTCTAGCCGCGGCCTATGACTGTTCGTCAGACTGTTTGTCTGGCTCCAGGAGGCTGCTTCCCAAACGGCGCTTCGTCGCTCCTCCCCCCGCGAGTGCGAGAGAGAGACAGCGCGTCGAAGCACCGTATCGGAATCTTCCCGCTGTGGCGGTTGCCATGCGTGGCGCGGCGCTGTTCACGTGATGACGCGTTTCGGCCGCCAAATCGAGTTTGAAGCGCGGGTTAACCAATGCGGCGTACTTCGCCTGTAACCGCAGTACGGCCCACGCTGAGGCTGCCCTTCCCCGCAGGCTGCATGCAGGCCTGGAGGTCGCTTACCTCGTCGTAGTCCTTCTTCAAGACGGCCAGGTCAGCGCGGACCTCTATGAACTCACCCTGCTCCAGGACGGCCAGGTCGCTTACCTCGTCATAGCCCTTTACCAGGATGGCCAAGTTCTCACGAGCCTCCATGAACTCGCCCTTCCCCAGGACAACCAGATCGACTACCTCGTCGGAGTCCTTCTCCAGGACGGCCAGATCGCCTACCTCGTCGTAGTCTTTCTCCAGGATGACCAAGTTCTCGCGAGCCTCCACGAACACGCCCTTCTCCAGGACGGCCAGATCGCCTCCCTCGTCGTAGTCTTTCTCCAGGATGACCAAGTTCTCGCGAGCCTCCACGAACACGCCCTTCTCCAGGACGGCCAGATCGCCTCCCTCGTCGTAGTCTTTCTCCAGGATGACCAAGTTCTCGCGAGCCTCCACGAACACGCCCTTCTCCAGGACGGCCAGATCGCCTCCCTCGTCGTAGTCTTTCTCCAGGATGACCAAGTTCTCGCGAGCCTCCACGAACACGCCCTTCTCCAGGACAGCCACGTTGCTTACCTCGTCATAGTGCTTCTCCAGGATGGCCAAGTCCTCGCGAGCCACCATGAACTCGCCCTTCCCCGGGACGGCCAGATCGCCGGCCTCGTCGTAGACCTCTCCAGGACGGCCAGGCGTCGCTTACCTCGTCGTAGTCCTTCTCCAGGGCGGCCAGGTCCTCGCGGGCCTCGATGAACTCGCCCTCCTCCATGCCGGCGGACGCGTAGTGGTGCACGAAGGCGCGCTTGCTGAACATGAGGTCAAACTTGCGGTTGAGCTTCTCCCAGGCCTCCTTGATGGCCGTGTTGCTGGACAGCATGGCGACGGAGCGCGGCACGGGGGCCAGGTCGCCGCCCGGCACCACCTGGGGCGGCTGGTAGTTGAGGCCGACCTGGCGACAGCGAGGAATGTTGCTGTTGCAGTTCAGACAGTTTTTTGGAAGCCGCGCCGCGTGAAGCGACGCGCATTCTTGCCGCGCAACAATTAGGAGCAACGCGCTGCGCGTGTGAATCCAATCCAACCTTAATCAAAGAGTCAATCCGTTGTTTCCCCCGACAATTAGCGATGTCGCGTCGAGAAATGATGAATTGCAACGACTGTTCCTCTTTTTCCCAACGCGCCTCGCGTGCGCTGGCATAGCGGAACGGGCTGATTCCACACATTCGCTCTGTCTCTCTCGCACCTGGGCGAGGTGCGACGCGAGTGCGAGAGAGACAGAGCGACGAAAGCCTCGCTCTGGTGGCCGAGCAAGCCTTCATTCACAAGCGCGCGCGTGTCTCATTCATAAACATGGCAAAAGTCGCAGCAGCACCTGCGGGCTGATTCCGAACAGTGCTTCGTCGCTCTGTCTCTCTCGCACCTCTATGGGGCGGCCCGTGAGTGCGAGAGAGACAGAGCGACGAAAGCACTGCTCGGAATCAGCATGCTGGCGAGCGGTGCGGGATGACGACGACGACGACGCGGCCTGCAGCAGGAAGCAGAGCAAGTACCTTAAACCCGGTGGGGCACCAGTCCACGAAGCGCACGCCCTTCTTGGTCTTCATGTCGGTGATGGCGTCGTTGACGTCCTTGGGCACCACGTCGCCGCGGTACAGCATGCAGCAGGCCATGTACTTGCCGTTCTTGGGGTCGCACTTGACCATCTGGCTGGAGGCCTCGAAGCACTCCGACGTGATGTCGGCCACCGTCATGCTCTGGTGGAAGGCGCGGTCGGCCGACACCACGGGCGCGTACGTGGTGAGCGGGAAGTGGATGCGCGGGTACGGCACCAGGTTGGTCTGGAACTCCGACAGGTCCACGTTGAGGGCGCCGTCGAAGCGCAGCGAGGCCGTGATGGAGGAGACGACCTGTGGGCAGAGAAGGAACGTCTAGCGCCTGGCGGTAGGCCACCCATCGTGCGCCGGCGTGCCGGACGGCCGCGGCAGGCGCGGATCCAGGTACGAGGGGGGGAGGACAATTGCCCCCTCTCTCCCCTTTTGTCTCCTAGATAGCCGCCTGAGAGGTAGGCAAAGAGCGACACTTTGTCCATGTAAGTGGACAATACATGCCACTCTGCCCCTTCCTCAGGCCGACTCATTTGGGTCGGGCGGCAGGCACGGATCCAGGTGGCGATGAGGGCGTTCCCCCTGGAACCCGTCTCTGGATCCACCCTTGAACGGAGACCCGCTCAGTGTGGGCCGAAAGACCGGTGGTGGCGGTGGCAAAAATTCGAGACGCCTTTTGAGCTGTAGAGTCGCAAAGCAGGACTCGAACCGAACGTGTGACCCCACTAATGGATTCCTCAATCGGAAGCAATCCATTGGTGGGGTCCGCGGTGGGGTCACACGTTCCGTTCGAGTCACATTTAGCGACTCTGGAGCTCAAAACGCTTCTAGAATTTTGACCGCCTTCGCCGGTCTTCTGGCCTACTGTGCCTTGGACGGCCGGAACCGCACCTGGCTGATGAGGCGGTTGAGGTTGGTGTAGACGGGCCGCTCGATGCCCAGCTTCTTCCTGCACAGGTCGTAGATGGCCTCGTTGTCCATCATGAAGCAGCAGTCCGACTCGGTGATGGTGTTGTGCGTGGTCAGGATGGCGTTGTACGGCTCCACCACGGCCGTGGACACCTGCGGCGACGACGCTCAGGTCTAGCCGCGGCCTCCCTTTCGTACTGCAGGCTGATTCCGAGAGTCGTTTTCGACGCTTTGTCTCTCTCGCACCCATAAGTACGCCCCGTACGTGCGAGCGAGACAGAGCGACGAAAGCGACTCTCGGAATCAGTGTGACGGCAAAAAGGGCCGCACTTGTGGCGCGGGGTAGATGACGAACTGCAGCTTGCTCTTCTTGGGGAACTCCTTGCTGAGGCGCTCCAGCAGCAGCGTCGTGAAGCCGGAGCCCGTGCCGCCGCCGAAGGAGTTGAACAGCAGGAAGCCCTGCGGACGTCACCCCCCCAAAAAATACATAACAACGTGCACGTTTGTAGGAAAGGGAAAACAAGGCGTTGCACAGTGGGCCAGCAGACCGGTGGAGGCGGCCAAAACTCTAGACGCGTTTTTAGCTCAAGAGTCGCTAAACGGGACTCGAGCCGCGCGTGTGACCCCACCAATGGATTCCTCGTTCGGAGAGCAATCCATTGGTGGGGTCAAACGTTCGATTCGAGTCCCATTTAGCGACTCTGGAGCTCAAAACACGTCTAGAGTTTTGGCCGCCTCCACCGGCCTTCTGGCCCACTGTGCGTCGCCGCCGCCGGGGCTCGAACCTGCAGACTGTGGCACTGGTCAGCCAGCCTGCGGACGCGGTCCACCACGTCCTCGATCATGTCCTTGCCGACCGTGTAGCGGCCGCGGGCGTAGTTGTTGGCGGCGTCCTCCTTGCCCGTGATGAGCTGCTCGGGGTGGAACAGGCCGCGGTACGCGCCGATCCGTACTTCGTCTGCAAACAAATATAAACAGAGGTGAAGTACTTGTACAATTTTGAGCGTGGACTCGTACAATTTAGTGCGTTCGAAATTTTTCGAGCAACTTTGTACGAATTGCACGCATGTACAAAATTTGTCAGACTCGTTCAAATTGGATGGCCAGTGTACACAACAGTGTATGTTCATTGGAAATGAATAGAACATACGCTGTTCTGTGTGGTGACAAGTGAATTGAGCAAAACGATTTTTTTTTGTCAATTTTAGCGAAAAAACACGAAAAAACACACGGTTTTATCACTGAGGCGCGCGCGCGGCTGGACTCACCGACCACGGTGGGCTCCAGGTCCACCATGATGGCCCGGGGGACGTGCTTGCCGGCGCTGGTCTCGCAGAAGAAGGTGTCCCTGCCCGAGGACTCGGAGGGCGACATGAAGGGCGCGGGCGAGCCGTAGGGCGCCAGGGACGACCCGAAGGGCGAGGTGCAGGGCGCGGCCAGCAGCGACGCCGTGGCCGAGGTCGTGGACGAGTCAGGGGCAGACTCGGACCGCGTCCCCGACGGCGCGATGCCGTGCTCCAGGCAGTACAGCTCCCAGCACGCGTTGCCCATCTGGACGCCCGCCTGGCCAACGTGGATGGAAAGGCACTCCCTCTGCCGGGGCAGAAATGAGAAAGTTTCGTCGAAACATCCCTGGTATTCGAGTCACTGAGTCACGGGGCGGGACGCGGCGCGGGCAGGCAGGGCCACTGCAGGGCCACGGCAGGGCAGGGCCCCTGGGCTCCGACTCCCACGCCGAATTCCGGTCCCGTCTTCTCTCTTACCATTTTGCGATGTTTTCTGTTGCTTCTTTTTAAAAGTTTACAATTTTTTTGGTTGGTTTTTGTCTAAATATTTCTTTTTCCTTTAGTTACTGAAAATTTTGCATGTCTGGCCGAAAGGGTTTGGTGGACTGTGGGGGCTGTCGGGGTTGCTATGGAACCTCGGCCCGGCACAGTCTCATTGTAACCGGGCCGGCCCGACCCGGCCGCGGCCGGGCTCTTGATGTTGTTGTTCCTCTGTTGTTGTTGCTGTTGATGATAGTTGGCTCCCCGAGTCCCAGAGCGCCCCTTCGCCCACCCCCTCCCCCTCCCCACCCACAGCTTCACATTAGTCCGCGAGCGTGCTTGCAGCGGTTAACCCATTGCACTAAGCTAGTTGCCCAAAGAGGATGGGGTCGGCCTGGGATTTGCCGCCCAAATCAAGGGGCCCTAAAGTCTGTTTGTGTGATGGCGTGTTGGGGGTGGTGGGGGAAGGGGGAAGCACAGAGTGAACTGAATTTTTACCTTCCAAGGTCAGTGTCAAGGTCGCAGCAGCAGCGCGCTCGTGGTTTACTGGGTCGGTGACAAAGTTGGAACGCAAAGAGGACCGTCGCAAGTAATGGACCAGGCGCGGCAGGCAAGGCCGGGCAGGGCATGGCCATGGCCAGCAGGCTGATTTCGTACAGCGCTTTCGTCGCAGTCTCACAGTGGGTCAGAAGACCGGTGGCAACGGGCAAAATCCCGGACGCGTTTTGAGCTCCAGAGTCGCTACCTAAATGGGACGCAAACCGAACGTGTGACCCCACCAATGGATTGCTCTCCGAACGAGGAATCCATTGGTGGGGTCACACGCTCACTTTGAGTCCTGTTTAGCGCTTCTGGAGCTCCAAACGCGTCTAGAGTTTTAGCCGCCGGCGCCGGTCGTCTGGCACACTGCAGAGCGCCGTGGAGATAGGCACAACTTCCTACTCCGATGGCAGCCGGATCACCGCGTATGGGGGCAAAAAGGGAGAGGAATGAAAACGAAATAAAGACGCATCCGAGGGGGTCCTCCTTCAGCTCTACTCTGGGCTATGTTAATCTCGCAAATGCTTAATCAGGACCTCGATCCGGACGATATTGCTTTATCGCTGAATAATGACTAACGATGTAATCCCGCGCGCGTCTGCAAATTGAGTGGGGCTCCCCAGACAGGGAATTAACCCCGGCAAGCTTGTCCGTTCCGGTCTTTACTGCTGCGACCCAGCGGCGGGATATTAAAGCCAGAAGCCCTTCCGCTGCGAAGCCACTGCGAAGCCAAGCCCTCCACCACAATGCCCCTGTCTGTCCCCTAATCCAAATTATTATTTTTTTGTGGTTTCCTTTTCCCTTTTTTCGCAGGTGGCACTGCAATGTTTTGTCGTTTTTATTATTTACGGACTCGCGTCCGCCACGCAGACTGACAGCTTGCTGTGCTGACATTGCATCCTGCCGCCGTAATCCTTGTCCTCGGCGTCCTGGACGTCCTGGACGGAGCGGCCCGCGCGCCTTCAAGCGGATCCCCCGCCCTGGGGGCGGCACGCCACGGCGCAGCACGGCACGGCACACAGTGGGCCAGAAGACCGGGGAGGCGGCCAAAACTCTCGACGCGTTTTGAGCTCCAGAGTCGCTAAATGAGACTCGAATCGAACGTGTGACCCCACCAATGGATTCCTCGTTCGGAGAGCAATCCATTGGTGGGGTCACACGTTCGATTCGAGTCTCATTCAGCGACTCTGGAGCTCAAAACGCGTCGAGAATTTTGGCCGCCTGCGCCGGTTTCTGGCCCACTGTGGGCCACGGCGCCGCACGGCACGCCACGGCACGCCACGACATGATGAAAGAAATGCGGCACTGCGCCGGGGTACCGCACTGACCTTTCCTCCGCAGGCCGATTCCGAACAGCCCTTCGTCGCTCTGTCTCTCTCGCACTCCTACTGGACGCCCCATGAGTGCGAGAGAGACAGCTGTTGAGCCAGCAAGCGGCGGCACGCGTCGTCGCATCACGCCCCTCGCATGCGGCTGATGAGCGGGTGCAAGGGGGACGTCGTCGGCAACGTCGCCGGGGCCATCGGGTTCGTTTGAGCGTTGCCGGCGTTGCCTCCCCCGCGCCATGGGCAGCCATGGGAAGTGGGCGAAGGGCATAGTAAGGCGAGCCGCAACAGTGTATAATCTTTATTTTACAAACTGTACAGGCGTATGTACACCGCACCTCCCTCTCCACAATTGCGTTTCCGAATGAACGAATCCAATGGCATGATGACAGTCACCCTGTCAGGGGAAATGAGTCTCAACAACGTTCTTGCCGCGTCAGCGACTACTGAATCTTACATTCGCGGTCAAGTCGAGATGCAAATTAGCCTCCAAGGGCTTTCGAAAGGGCAACATCGTTTTTCTCGGGCCGGCCGCCCCGCTCGCGCGTTCCCACGCCGCGCAACACCAAAAAGTGCCTCTTTTTGCTGCGAGTGGCGTCTAGACTGCAGCGTAGCGGAGGCGCGCCCGCTTTCGAGGCCGTTTTGGTGCCTCGCGACGCGTCGTCTGCAATCAGTCCAATGCAACGGGGCGCTCCCCCTCATCTGTTGGCCGCGCTGTAGAAGCCGGCGCGCTTGACGGGCTTGGTGGCGCCGGCACTGCTAGCGCCGACACTGGCGGCGGCGCCCGCGGTGGCCGTGCCCGAGTCCTGCCGCCTCTCCAGGGTGTGCGGCGCGGGCACGGTCCCCAGCGACGCCACCGAGCTCAGCAGGTCGCTGAGGCTGTCGGCGTGCTGCACGTCCAGGTTGGTGGAGACCAGCTTCTCGTCCGGCGCGGTGTAGTGCTTCAGCTCGCTCTGGCGGGGCTCCACGTCGGCGTCGCCCCCCGAGGGGAAGAACAGGGGGTTGTTGAAGGAGAACGGCCGCTGCGGGCTGAATGGGCTGCCGCTGCCGCCGCGGCCCGCGTCCAGGCCGAGCTGCGAGGTGAACAGCGGCGACCTGAGCTGCTGCTGGGCGCCGCCGGAGGGTCCCGAACCCGGACTCGGGTACAGCAGTCGCTGGCGACTCAGGAAGTCGTCCTGGAACTGGCTACCGACGCCGCCGACGCCGCTGGCGCCCTGGCCCGCGGCCGCCACGCCCGGGCGGTAGAACGAATTGGGCGCGGGGAAGCCGGCGTCGGGGCCCGTGGACTGGAACGCCCCGCCGGAGTACGGCAGCTGCTGCAGCGGCGACAGCGGCCCGGCGAAGCCAGGGAACTGCTGCCGCTGCTGTTGCTGGAGCGGCGGTTGGAAGGGTGGCCGTCCACCGAGGTCCTCGGCCGAGCCGGCGGCCTGGCCGCCACCGGCCTGCAGCCTCGCAGGGCGTTCGTCGGCGTCGTCGTTGACCTCCTGGCTGCCACCCCCACTGCCGCCACCGCTACCACCCCCGCTACCGCCAGCGCTACCTCCCCCGTTGGTCGCCGGGAAGGGTCCGTACGGCGGCCCGAAGCCAGTGAGCGTCGGCCGCGCCCCGAACGGCGCTCCCTGAGGCCCCTGAGGCCCTTGCGGCCCTTGAGGGTGCTGCGCGTTGCTGTGCTGCGGAGGCACGCCGAACGGGTAGCCCGGAGCAAAGCCCGGGACGTAGCCGCCGAAGAAGGGGTCGTAGTTCCCGGGGAAGTTGGGGTTCCGGTTGACGGCCGGGGCCGCCGTCGGGGAGGGCTGCTGCTGCTTTTGCTGGGGCTGCTGGGGCTGCTGGGGCTGCTGAGGCTGCTGCGGCTGGTACTGGAACCTCGGGTCGCGGTAGGGATCAGGACGGTAAGGGTCGTGGCGATAAGGGTCGGGGCGGTAGGGGTCGGGGCGGTAAGGGTCGTGGCGGAAGCGGAACTCCGGAGGGCGGTAGTCCCCGCCCAGTGGCACTCCCGAGGGGTAGGCGCCGGGCAGGCCGGGCGGGTGGAACGGGTAGGGCGACTGCGGCCCCGTAGGAGGGTCGTCCCTGGCTGCGGGGGCGGGCGCCTGCCCCGTGGGGGGCGGCGAGTTGAGGTCCTTGACCTCCGTGACCACGTCGGTGGCGGGTGAGGTCTGCTGAGTCGCCGCAGTAGGCGGCGGCGGGGTGGTCGCTTCCTGGCTGCCCTCCACGCTGCCGGTCACCTCCACCTCCTCGGTGAGGTTGAGGCGGCGACTCGACTCGGTCCGCCCGAACTCGAACGTCTGCTTGAACGGCGTGGTCCTCGGCGCCCCTTCGGCATCGTCCTTGGGGTTGGTGGCGGCCTCGGTGGCCTCTGGCGCGGTGGCTGCGGCGGGCATGGTGGTGGGCGCCATGGTGGTTGGCTCCGGCGGCGCGATGGTCGTCGTGGAGGCCTCGATGGTGGTGGACGGCGCCTCTGCCGACGCGGCGGCGCTGGCCAGAGACCCGAGCGAGTTGAGCGTCCCGGCCGGCCTGCCCGGCGACGCGTACAGCGGCCCGGTGGTGCCGAGGGCGTGGCTGGCGGCGATCGGCGAGGACGACACCAAGTCCAGGGCGCTGGCCGCCGCGCTGAACCGCGGCAGCGGTCCCGGCAGCGCCGAGTACAGCAGCCCCGCGCCGGGCCCGCTCACCGCGCTCGCCACCACGGGCACGGGGAAGTGGCCGTAGTAGGGCAGGTGGCCGTAGTGCGCGGGCACGTGGCCGTCGACGGACGGGTAGTTGTTGAAGTGCTGCGCGCTGCCGTAGCCCACGGCGCCCTGCGGCGGCTGCGCGGGCTGCTGCGCCGCCTTGGCCTGCTGCTCGTAGTTCTGCAGCGTGACCAGGATGTGCGCGTCGTGGTGCTGCGCGGGCAGGCCGCCGTCGTTGGGCTGCTCGCGGCGCACCAGCTGGCCGAGGTGGCCGGCGGACGCGTGCGACGGCAGCGTGGGCACGGGCGTGGTGTGGCTGGGCGGCGGCGGCGTGGGCGAGGCCGTGAGGCGCGCCGCGGCGCTCAGGGCGGCCGTCAGCAGGCGCGCGCTCGTCCGCGGGTCCAGCCTCGGCGGCGTCGGCGTGGTGGTGGAGGCCGTGAGGGCGGCCGTCTTGTTGGGCGCCAGGCGGTACGCCGGGATGAAGAACACGTTGTAGTTGCCGGACTTGTCCGCGCCGCCGGCTGCAATCACGAAACGGGGCCTCCTTCATGTCGTCCGTTTTTTCACGCTGAAGTAGACTGATTCCGAGAGTCGTTTTCACCGCTCTGTCCCTCTCGCACCCCCCATGAGTGCGAGAGAGACAGAGCGATGAAAACGACTCTCGGAATCAGTGTGCAGTTCCCACACGTCGTAAACGCTGCCATGAACCGCGCGCTGCCGCGCTCGCTTGGCTAAATCAAGGAGTCTCCCACGGCGGCGCCATGGCGCAGCGTGTGCAATGCTTTACATTGAATAAGTTTGGACACTTAAACGACGGCTCGACTGTCTGCCCCCACTTTTTGCTGGCTCCGTCAATTATTTTTTGCCACACAATATTCTAACATTTGCCTCGAGGCATTAGTAAAACGACTAATAATGATCCCGCTTGTTACCCAATGTTTATTATCGAAGCACCTGACACGTTTTCTCTGTGCTCGTTCCAGCGCAGCGGTGCCATACGGCAAATGAACACACACTACGTACACACACATCGAGACACACGTACATGCACACACACGTACACACGCACACACTTGCACTGGTAGAGCTTGCAACCTGACAGGGCATTGCGGTCCTGTACCCCGGCAAGGCACCGACATGCACGCACCACAGTGTGCCACCACACCCTCCCCGTCCGCCCCCCCTTCCCGTTGAAACGCTTGAATACATATTTCTCATCCTCGCGCGCGGCTGGCTGAGGGGGTGGGGTGGGCAGCAGGGGCCACGTTACACATCTCACTCCATTTTCCCATTGCTGTTCGTTTCTAGGCTGCCCCACGCCCCCGCCCCGCTGCGTCCCGCTCGTGACACATTGTTCAGTATTGTGGCCGACTTGGTGTGGACGGGGGGCGTGGTGGCGCGGTGGCCAGCCCGTGCAGCCAGGCGGCACGGCGCCTCAGGACGGCTGCTATCAGGCCGGCATGGCGCGACGCGGCACGATGGACCGCGCAGAAATATCACGTTTCAAGTCACCGCACATTCATTTTTGTCAGTGTCGCCACAAAAATTCTCACGATGCACCAGTGTTGACAGGGCCTCCAACCTCAGCAGCTGGCCACGAGGCAATGTCTTTCGACTCTGCCGTCGAGAAGTTGCCCAGTGGCGGGCTGAGGTAGAACCTTCCTTCACACACACCACTGGGGCATCGGGAGATGGTTTGATTGTGACAACACTGTTTGAGCTACCTTTTTGCCGGAGTGAATCCTGCACTGTCGAACGAAGTGCGAAGAACTTCTCACTTCCTGCACTGTTATTCAACGAACGTGACGTGACATTCGTTAGAATATGAATTTTGTCACATTCGTTTGAATGTGATGTCACATTCGTTTGAATGTGAAGTCACATTCGTTTGAATGTGAAGTCACATTCGTTTGAATGTGATGTCACATTCGTTTGAATGTGATGTCACATTCGTTTGAATGTGATGTCACATTCGTTTGAATGTGATGTCACATTCGTGTGAATGTGATGTCACATTCGTTGAATAACAGTGTGTACGGAGTAATTATAACTCTCCACTCCTTGACGTGTGGAGTGCAGTAGCTCACGTCGAGCCCTTACCTCCTGGCATGGTGCACGGACATGGTCCTTACTTGAAATGTGCAAGACTGCAAATTCTGCACTACCAAGGCGGCGGAGACAGCAAAATCCACCCCTCCGCATGTGACACAAGTTAATTGGTTTCACAGTTTGTGCACATTACCTTGCGGCAGGATCTGGTTGACGATGTCCTCGAAGCGCTGTGGGCTGGCGTGCGTCGCCACGACGAGCAGCATCAGCACCCCGACCGCCGCCACCGGCAGCTGCAGCCGCTGCTGGAACACACGGCACAGTTGGACCATTTTCGACGTCGTATTCGTCGCTCTGTCTCTCTCGCACTCATGGGGCGCCCCATATCGGAGCGAGAGAGACAGAACGACGAAAAAGACTCTCGGAATCAGCCTGCTGGGACAACAGGTCGCAAAAAATGTAGGTCGACGCAACACAAGCGCAGCGCGACACACGTGGAATGCCAGTGCCTGTTTGGATTGTCTTTTCTCCTCGTCGCATTTTCCAGTTGACGAATATTTGCAGCCCTGCTCTGCCAGCCGCGACCCCTTTGAGCCCAGCACTGCGTCAGCCCACTGCAACTGACAGCCGCGCGCTGCGTTTCTAGTGTCACTGCCGCACAGTGGGCCAGAAGAGCGGTTGGGGCGGTCAAAATCACGGATGCGTTTTGAGCTCCAGAGTCGCTAAATGGGACTCGAACCGAACGTGTGACCCCACCAATGGTTTGCTCTCTGAACGAAAGGAATCCACTGGTGGGGTCACACGTTCGGTTCGAGTCCTGTTCAGCGACTCTGGAGCTCAAATCAAAACGCGTCAGGAGTTTCGGCCGCCGACGCCAGTCTTCTGGCCCACTGTGTGCCATTTCAGCTGATGTTGTTGTTGTTCCGCAGCGTGTTTTTGTTTGAGCTTCGCGGAGACCCCGCCGCTCTCTGTGGCCACTGCGCCGCCTTCCGTCGCGTCGCGTCACTTTGCGTAACATCCGAACGCACTGAAACGTGGAGGGACATCTCGTGGCACTGACCTCCCCGCCCCCCTCCCCCGTCTCCCTTCGTCCGACGCAGAGTCCTGCGATGATGGCGGTATGCGAAATCGAGACGGGAAGGAGTGCAACCCGCACTGCTGTCGCTCACTCTTGGGAAGCACGTCCCTTGGGGAGGGGGAGGGGGGCAAGGACACGGAACACCGGGGGGACGGGGCGTGTCGATCACTTCCTCGCCCTCCTCTTCGGCGGCGCGCGTGTTCCAGCCGAGCGGTTCGGACGAGCGTCGTTTCGTCGCCCTGTCTCTGTCGCACTCATGGGGCTCTCCGTAGGCGTGCGAGGGAGACAGAGCGACAAACGACGCTTCTGAATCGCTGCGCAGGCAGCCGAGCCACAGTGGGCCAGAAGACCGGTGGAGGCGGCCGAAACCCTAGACGCGTTTTGAGCTCCAGAGTCGCTAAATGGGGCTCGAACCGAACGGTTGACCCCACCAATGGGTTGCTCTCCGAACGAGGAATCCATTGGTGGGGTCACACGTTCGGATCGAGTCCCTCTTAGCAACTCTGGATGGAGCTCAAAACGCGTCTAGAGTTTTCGCCGCCTCCACTGGTCTTCTGGCCTACTGTGCGAGCGCGCGCCGTGCGGTTACGAACAGTGGCGTCGTCGCGCGCCCTGTCTCTCTCGCGCCCCTACGGCCCGTCCATTGAGTGCGAGAGAGAGAGAGAGAGAGAGAGAGAGAGAGAGAGAGAGAGAGAGAGAGAGAGAGAGACGAAGTCATCACGAAGCAGCCTGCAGGACGGCGGCGTCGCCGGGGCGATGCGCTGCCGCGGGCTGCATAGCAGGCCGACCGCGTCGCTCTGTCTCTCTCGCACCCCCACGGGACGGCCCATGAGTGCGAGAGAGACAGGCCCCCGTCTCGGAAGCAGCTCGCTGCCGCCGCCGGTGTGGCCCGGTGCCCCAGTCATGACTTGCAGGCCGGCCGGCAGCCTTGGCGGCGGCGTCCCGCAGTCTGTCAGGCTGCAGACTGATTCCGAGAGTCGTTTTCGTCGCTCTGTCTCTTGCGCGCCTACACGGGGTGCCCAATGAGTGCGAGAGAGACAGAGCGACGAAAGCCACTCTCGGAATCAGTCAGCTGAGCATTGCTCTCGTCGCTCTGTCTCTCTCGCACCCCCACGGGACGCCCCATGAGTGCGAGAGAGACAGAGCGACGAGAGCGGTGCTCGGAATCAGTCTGCTGGTGCCGATGGCCGCACTGCAAGTCGGCACGGCACGTCCGCGGCGCCTGGCGGCGCCCAAAACACGGAAACAGTCGGCCGGCTTCGCGACGCGACACTGCGAGACGCGCTGCCCTTCCGCGCCAATGCAGGCAACGCGTTGCATAAAGGAGTCGCGATCGAGTTCCCCGCAGACTGATTCCGAGAGTCGTTTTCGTCGCTCTGTCTCTCTCGCACCTACACGGAACGCTCCATGAGTGCGAGAGAGACGGAGCGACGAAAACGACTCTTGGAGTCGGTTCCATCGCCGTCGCGGTGCACTTCTTCGAATATACCGACGACGACCCGGATCGGGACTAGGATACCTCCGCATGCGACAGTTTTGATTGTCTGTTCGATAAATAAGCCGCCCGTTAGGTAAGCACTGAATACCACGCAGTGAATCCAAACGCTATGGACATGGGGCGTATGGTCACGTCTGCGATGCATTGGGACATCTCATGGGGGTATGGGTACGTGCATTCATGCAATGCCATAGTCATATCTCCCCTTCCGAGAGATGCGTCCCGAAAATGCCCTGTGCCAATGCATGCGAAGGCATTGCACCAGCGGTGTGTAGCATTTGGCAGTGTCGCCACCATTTCAAACGCAGCCGGCTGTAGGCGCGCTGAGTGTGATTTGCGCGCTGTTGCGAGAGCTGTTCCCTTTGGCCTTTGGCGCCTTTGGCCGCCTTTGACCGTCCGTGTTGACCGTAGTATGCACCGAAAACGCCGAGCGGTTTTGCCGGTTGACAAACTACAGCGCCAGCCAATTAAAACTTGTTGATTGCGCGCGTGTCTGGCCATGTGGAACATGTAGGGCCCCTTCGGTGGCTGCTAGCTCAAAGGGCCCAAAGCCGCACGCCTTCGATCAGGGTGGCCAATTCAGTGTTAAAAACTAAGTGAGCAAAAAACTCTCTCAAGCGGCGCACAGTTGTCGAAAGCCTGCGTACAAGCCAGCCTGCCTACCGCTACCAGCTCGGCTACCAGCCAGCCTCCCTAGCCAGCCTGCCTCCTATACAAGGCAACAAAATGTCTTCGGAGGAGCCGATGTTTTGCCTCAGGCTGAGGTAGTCAACCCTTTCGACACCTGAGCATATACGGGAAATTTTCGCTTTGCTAAAGTTGGCAACACTGGGCTAGCACGCGAGGAAGGCGGCACGGCACCCCGCGTGTCGTCGCTGTAGGGCTGTTGCGCTGGTCAACAACAACGGCACCGCGGTGTCCGAGACAGACGACAGACGCAACCGATGCTTGACCAATTGCCCCAATGCAAGTGATCCATTCTCATGGATCCATTCACTAGTCACTTGACCCCCCCCCCCACACACACACACCCACAGGCACTCAAAAATAATTAAGGAGCAACACTTTACGCTAGCTCTACCTTTTTGGGTGAAATGATGAAAAATGGACACATACTTGCATTTGGTCAAGTTTCAATAGTGTCTCCTCAAGAGACCAAGTCACATTGTCGACTGTAACGCAACACAGGCGACGCAGGTGTAAGTTATCAAAATAAGAACCACGCACAAATTAGGGCAACAACCTTAATATGCATGGCCACTTGCATACTGTCCCGCCCGACTCCGCACGCACAGCAATCATGAAACCACTACACTGTAGTCGCCACGACCACTACACTGCCGTCGCCACGACCACACGCGGGCTAATTCACCACGAGGCACACCCACCTTGGTCGGCAGCATGGTGGTCGCGGCTTGAGGTTGGCGCAGGGCGGCACCGCGCGGACTTTGCAGCCATTTTGGCGTCCCGTTCGTACTTATACGTCGCCCCCCTTCGCCGCGCTGCGTCCCCCCGCTCCCCCCCCCCTCCCCCCGCCGTCTCCGTGGGGCTGCGGGGGCGCCGGAGGCACGGCAGGACACGGACCTATGCACGCCGGTGTCGCTGGCCCGCGGGCAGCAGGCTGATTCCGAGAGTCTCGCTCTGTCTCTCTCGCACCTATAAGGGACGCCCCATGAGTGCGAGAGAGACAGAGCGACGACTCTCGGAATCAGTCTGCAGTGGCCGGCCATCCCATGGGCCTGGGCCCTGCTCGTCGCTCTGTCTCACTTGCACCTGTACGCCACGACCCAGGAGTGCGAGAGAGACAGAGCGACGAAAACGACCCTCGGCATCAGTCCTCTGGCGCCCCTGGCCCCGCAAGGCCGATAACGAAGCAATCATTTCAGAATCATCGCTTTCACCAGGATCAAGGTTGAATTGCGTTACTTGGTGGTTTGGGCGCGCCGTTAAGGAAAGCGTTTTTCCAGTGGTGAATGATTACCCTCAACTTGAGTAGCTTGAGACAGCACTGGTTAATTGACGCCAGGCCATCAGTCCCTCTGAAATTGATGGTGAAAGGGGTGATAACCCACTTAGGGTGCAATCTTTTTTGGGGGGGTCAGCTTCAAACCGTTTTGATTTTGTAGCAATTTGAAATATTCGTCAAGGTTTCATGTCGCAACCCTTGGCCACAGAGAATCTCTACTCAGATTAGGACCAGACAGGGTTCATTGACCTCACCAAAGACTACTCTTTTCATAAGAAGAAAAATAAATTGAAAAAAAGTGAGACATTCTTTCACATAATAAGGAAAATTGATGAAAATTTTACAGAAATAGAGGTAGCTAAACTAACGGGTCGGTTGATTTTGACGATATTTGGTCCAGATTTCACCGAGGAGTTCACTCATCCTTAGTCAACCAAGTCCACAAAATTTCAACGCCGGCCAAGCTCTTCACTGTTGGTGGGCCCACATTTTATATTTTTTCAGCTGAATCTTGTATCAAAACTTCAGTGACATGAACCAGAGTACTTGAATTAGGTCTTGGAATCACTTTCGAGCTTGGGGATGGCCACCAAACATCATTTCAAATGAGACATTTCAGTTCCAGAGATAGTTTTGTTGATATGTTGGGTCAACGAGTAAAAATATGTTTGTGAAGACCATATTAACCACATCAAAGTAACCTCGGGTTTGTGTATTCCCCTTGGTTCTTTTTACTAACCTGATCAAGAAATCAACGCATTGGTAGATTGATTCCATTACTCCTTCATCAGCACTAACTCTCCGACAGATGTTGGAACTCACAAAACATGGGCTACACCACGACAACGAGAAAGCCTATGCATGGCATGTAAAACAAAAGTTGCTCCAGTTTCTACAGTTTGCTTTTCGAATCGTCTGCTTGCGTTGCGCCAATCCCAGGTATGAAAAAGTTATGTGTAAATATTAAAAATTTCTCATACCTGTGATTGACGCTGCGGAAGCGAAGGGCGTATCTTCATAGACGTTGTTTTAACTCTTGCTTCTCGATTTGCTACTCTTGTCACTTGGCAACATAGTAAGAATGGCTTTTACACTCGGCTGTCCGTCACATAGGTGTCGCACTGCTCAAGCAGGGACGGGGACGGAAGACTCCCTGGAGGTAGGCAGCCCAACGCACGCTGCCTGAAGAGTTGCCTACCCACCAGGCGCAGCGACTGCCGCTGGAACGGAGCGCTGCGTAGTCCTTCGGTGGTCCCACTGGACTAGTCCGAGCGCTGCCTGAAGAGTTGCCTACCCACCAGGCGCAGCGACTGCCGCTGGAACGGAGCGCTGCGTAGTCCTTCGGTGGTCCCACTGGACCAGTCCGAGCGCTGTGTTGTGGCAGGTGTGAACCTTTCTGGGTCATCTGGGGAAAATTTAAGGTTGCAAGCAATTTAAAAACAAATGGAAACCTTTTGAGAAGCTCCAGACAAAAAAAACCACTTGGTCGGCGACATCCTAGGAGCGGGCGCTTGTGGTGTTTTATCGGTTCCTTGTATGTATACGAACTGCCGAAAAGACACTTGGACGAAATCCGACACCCCCTGTGGCTTTGGTACGGGTCTAAACACCCCAAAAACAGCTGTTTTCGAGGGTTTGGGACTAGATGGGTTCTCGCAAACCGAGATCCAAAAAAGTACCCAAATGGGTCTCAGATACTCAAAAAAATGCGCTCTTTCGAATGCCATGTCGAACGAGGCTCTACGACGTCGGGTTTGGATGCTACGGGCTCTCAAAGTTGCTCAATTTCACTATTTTTACTGAAGATTTGAGCATATCAAGGCCGTTTGAAGTAGACCATCGGCGATTTCGCTCCTCGTTGTCTTAAATGGTGCCTACCCATAGGTAAACACCCCCACAAAATTTCAGCCATGTCAGGCAATTATTAGAGGAACTGTGAACAATTTAAGTTTTGGGTCATCGTACCACTGGGCTTGTGTGGTTTTGGGTCTAGAAAAAAATATTTTTTTAGCTGTCTACTTTTGATCAGCACCTCTTGAAACGCCTTTTTAACATGGTGTCTCAAAACTTTTTTAGAGGACAAACTTGTCTTTTTCTAGCTGTATTTGGAACATAACTTGGAGAAAAAGACAAGTTTGTCCTCGAAAGAAAGTTTTGAGGCACCATGTTAAAAAGGCGTTTCAAGAGGTGCTGATCAAAAGTAAATAGCTAAAAAAATATTTTTTTCTAGACCCAAAACCACCTAAGCCCAGTGGTAAAATGACCCAAAACTTACATTGTTCACAGTCCCTCTAATAATTGCCTGACACGGCTGAAATTTTGTGGGGGTGTTTACCTATGGGTAGGCACCATTTAAGACAACGAGGAGCGAAATCGCCGATGGTCTACTTCAAACGGCCTTGATATGCTCAAATCTTCAGTAAAAATAGTGAAATTGAGCAACTTTGAGAGCCCGTAGCATCCAAACCCGACGTCGTAGAGCCTCGTTCGACATGGCATTCGAAAGAGCGCATTTTTTTGAGTATCTGAGACCCATTTGGGTACTTTTTTGGATCTCGGTTTGCGAGAACCCATCTAGTCCCAAACCCTCGAAAACAGCTGTTTTTGGGGTGTTTAGACCCGTACCAAAGCCACAGGGGGTGTCGGATTTCGTCCAAGTGTCTTTTCGGCAGTTCGTATACATACAAGGAACCGATAAAACACCACAAGCGCCCGCTCCTAGGATGTCGCCGACCAAGTGGTTTTTTTTGTCTGGAGCTTCTCTTTAATTATTGTAAAAAAAAGGAAACCAGTCTTGAGCGGTTTATCTGTATTTTAATGGTATCATTTGTGAGGGTAGAGGTATGCAATATGAAATAATAACTCTTATTTTAAAAAAATGAATTTTAATTTTCAAATGTGGTTGTTGTTGTATTGGATGGAACCAACAAAATAAGGCAATGCGTTCAGTCTTTTTGCTAAGTATTTCAAAACTGTGGCATGTCCAATTGTAGAGTTTTCTGTTTTAAGAAAACATTCTTTTTAAAAAATACAGCTTTAAGAAACTAAGAAACGGTCAAGAAAAAAATAACTACAGACAACTTGGATTTGAGTGAACGTAAAGAAAGGCTTATGGCTAAAACTCATGGCACAAGAGAAGGAAAACTGTAGGCGCATTGAGCCTGGAGTTAGTAAAAAACAAACTTAAAACTAAGTTGTACATAAAACGAAAGGAAGTTTGCGTCGTGTCCTCCAGACGCGGTATATCACATACATTTCGCGGGCACCAACTATTTTCAGTGGTCTCCTTCGCGCGATTAAGTCCGTAAAGTAATGCCTCTGCCTGCTACAGCCATCTCTGCCGCGGAAGTGTAAAGTGGGCAGAAAAGCGCTGTATCACTGCAGCTCACAGCCCCGCTTCCCTCCCGAGGTCAAGGTCCGTCCCTCCGGACTTCGGACACGTCGCCCCGGAGGCCGCCGTCGTCGTCCCCTAGCGACGCAAGAAGTTGCCGACGCCGCCGAAGGACCGCGAGCCCGAGTAGGCGGGCAGCACGGCGCCCTGGGGCGTGCCGGAGTAGTAGCTGGCCACGCCACCGCTCACGCTGCCGTAGGGAAGACCGCCTGCAACAGGAACAGCACCGCGTGTTGAAGCAGTGTTGAAGCAGAGGCGGCCAAACCTCTAGACGCTTTTCGAGATCATCACTACTGGACTCGAACTGAGCGTGTGACCCCACCAATGGCACGGTAAAAACGGAACCTGGTTTTCCCAGGAACTCCCTGGAAATCGCCTATGTCTGTACCATAGGCTTCCTGGGAAAACCAGGTTCCGTTACCGTGGGATTCCTCGTGCGGAGAGCAATCCGGTGGGGTCACACGTTCGGTTCGAGTCCCATTTAGAGGCTTTGGAGCTCAAAACGTGTCTAGAATTTATGCCACCTTCCGGTCTTCTGGCCCGCTGTCGTCTGCACAGTGGCCCAGATGAAGCATCGCCTGGACCAATGTTGCCGCGAAGGTTGTCAAAATTTTCCAATACGCACACGTATTGAAAGGGTTGCCAACCCAGCCCAGCCCTCTGGGCCACAGCAGCTCGAAGGTGCACCTGGGAGGCAGGCTGAGGTTGGCAACCCTTTCGACACTGGTGCATCGTGGGAATGTTTGCCAACTGCCAGGCCCGCTGAGCTGACGGCGTCCCGACAGTGTGTCGTGCACTTCGAGTGTACCCACCGTACGCGAAGCCTGGCGGAGGCACTCCCCAGTTGCCTCGACTGTCCGCCACGCAGGACGCGGCGAGGAGCAGGCAGCCCAGGGCGGCCAGCAGGAACAGCTGCAAAGACAAAATCGAGCGGTCAGACAAGGGCAGAAACGGTTCGAAACGGTCAGAAACGATCAGCATAGATCAGTAAAAGATCAGAAACGGTCAGCATCGATCAGTAAAAGATCAGAAACGGTCAGCATCGATCAGTAAAAGATCAGGAACGGTCAGCGTCAATCAGTACAAGATCAGAAACGGTCAGCATC